CGTCATAATCTAACCTGTAACAAGTTATATTCAAGAATAATAAAACTATTAACTATTTGTTAACATTGGAATGCACGAATTTTTCAACTAATTCATTATTTTAAATTCAATTTGGTCAAGCCCATGAAAAAACAATCACTTTCAAAACAATGACTGCAGAAAATCTTGTGCCACACATCTAAGTGGGTTGAGCGGCAAACTCCTGGGAGCCTGTGACTATTTGTTGTGGTATTTTGAATGTTTATGGTGGCAATATTCAGCCGCATTCTGGGAAATTGTGCCTACGAGCTCGCGATCTGATACAATAAACAAAATGCAGGAGCTGTCCTAGATTTCTGCCACTTGCAATTCAAACGAATGGAGGCAGAGCGTGGCCTGAAAAACCGCGACGTTTTCTTCCTAACGTTGCGGACATGATTATTTTCCCGCCAAGTTTCAGACACTGGGAGGAAGTATTCGCTAACTGTCGCTTCAGTTGGAAATGACGAGGTTGCAGAATTTGGGTCGTTGCTTCCAGAAAAGTTGGAATTGCGTTGTTGTCACTGAAGGTAATCGATGCGGCTAAAAACATTCATTCCGGTACTTCAGATAGTTTTTGGCATGGATCAACTCGTGCCAATTTTTAACTATGGCGATTCAAAAGTAAACTATCATATTATTTTCAAATATTCTGACGCCGTTTCGTCCAGTAAAAATTTTATTTTTATTTGATTATGTCACATTACTACTTGTGTATTTTTTCTCATATGCTTAAATATCTCTGGCAAGTCCCAAAATTTAGACTTGGATGAAGTTTTCGTGTACGATAGTAATTTACTACCATTCATCTCTAAAATGTTTATTCATTTCACTAATAATCAATTATTACATTCACTAACGTAAACAAGGGTTGGACAAAATAAGGGAAACACCTGACATTTTGATATCGTAATTTTTTAACATGTTGTCAACATTGAAAACGTAGCATATTTTTTTGTTTTATTGTTTATTGTTGCTACTAATTGATATTTTTCCATTGCATAGATAGTTTTTGTAAATTTTTGTGTCTATAACCTAACCTATAACCTATAAATAGCAAGCCTCTCTGACTTTCAAAGAGGTCAAATTGTTGGTGCCCTAAGTATGGTGCTACTGTGACAGAAACTTCCCGAATGCTTAACGTTTCTAGAGGTACTGCAAGTCTCAAAAGTAATGATTGCTTTTGAAATAAAAGGAAAAACGTCCTCAGCAAAGCACAGGCCTGGCCGAAAGTCGAAGTTGTCTGAGAGAGGCATTTGGAACCTAAATCTAATTATGAGGGGCAATCGAAAGACCACGGCTGTGAAAATTACTGCAGACCTCAATGGACACCTACAGAACCCAGTTTCCATAAAGACTATACGCCGAGAGCTGCACAGACCTGGATTCTTTGAAAGAGCTTCATTTAGTAACTTTGTGGTTTCATATAAAAATCCTTCAAAGCGTTTAGAGTGGTGTAAAAACCTCCAGAATTGGTCCTCGGGCAGTGGAAAAATGTGACGAATCATCGTTTACCTTATTTAATTACGTTTGGAGACAGCCAGAAGAGTCTTTTAATCCAGACTGCCTCTTCTCTACAGTAAAACATGGCGGGGGATCTGTGATGATTTGGATGTGCTATTTCTTGGAAATCCGGTGGACCAATGATTTTTCTTTATGGAAGAATCAACAGCCGTGACTATTTAGGAATTTTCGAGGACCAAGTTCGTCCATTGGTTCAAGGACTATTACCGGAAGGAAAAGATGATTCCGAGGCATCTTCCAATATGAAAATGCCCCGATCCATCCATCTGGAATTGTTAAAAACTGGCACGATGAACATTCTAATGAAGTTGAGCATCTCATTCGACCACCACAATCACCAGACCTGAATATTATCGAGCGTTCATGGCCGCTTTTAGGGATGCCATTTAAAAGTCGATTTCCGCCGCCATCGTCTTTAAAAGAGCTGGAAGGAGTTTTAACTGAAGAATGAGTTAATCTTCCCTTGTAAACAATTCACGATTTGTATGAATCAACGCCTCGGAGAATTGAGGCTGTAATTGCCGAAAAATGAACCTACACCATACTAAAATATATTTTGTGGATTTCTCAGGCGTTTCCTTTGTTTTGTTATATTAACCCCTGTGGTTCACTCAGGAATTACGTTTTCTAAAACACGTTTGAATTTGCATTTTATGGGTGAGGATTTGTATCCTTCAATTGTTTGAAACGCTTATGCAACAACGTCGCTCGATCACTTAGCCTTCCCAGGTGCCAGCAATGCACTCAGATGCATTCCAGCCGACACCCAAAACAGACGTCGACATCACGAACAATTTTATCCTCCAGGGAAGTTTTCTGATCAAATTCTGAGAACGGACGAGCCGGTGAATTGCTGCAGCAGGCGTTGAATTCGAGAATTGAATCTCCAAAATTGGGTCATGATCGATGGAATAAAGTGAACTTTATTGTCGAAGTCCCTAAAGACACAGGCATGGAAGGCCTCTGGACGCATTTTACGGCACGGCTGGCCGTACAATAACTGAATTTCGTGCTTACACGTGGGCTTAAGAAGATAGACAAGCTTGAGTGTTTACTGAAATTGGTTGAAGAAACCACAATGTATTTTTTCGAACCAGCTGTGGATGCAATTAAGCTTTGATAAAAGCGAAAAATCGCCTGTTGATATTATGAAAATACGTGCCGTTCTTAGTTAAACTCTCTCCTCATTAATTAAGAAATTAATCTTTGCAGCCGCAGGATGAAGAAAATTTGAAGAAGAATTTTGATGAAGAATTTTGCATGGGGCATATTTGATTGCTTGTTTGTTCAATGTATTAAATTAGGATCATTTTATGATTATCAGCCCACTGCAAGTTTCTTGAAAAGCCATGCTGTGTTTACGGTAAATTTCTTGCTCCAATGGAAGAAACATGTGACTATATTTGTGGTGGACAGAGTGACGTTTACTTGCTAGCCTAATTAGTGCGAGTGAATGAAACAGAGAAGCAGTGATGAGTCGGTCGTATCCTATGAATTAATATAAAAAATGGAACCGCTGAGGATGAATTAAAGCCACCCAGGAATTCCAGACAGACCCTAATTAAGTCTAAAGCTCGACTGAAGCTCCTAATTTTGTGCCTTTCATGATGAAGTGCTCATTAAAGGCTAACTGCAGCCGTCTACGATTGCGAGTCAGATTCCAGACTCCGCGAAATTAGTTCATATGTTAGATAAAAAATGCAACTCGAAGAAAACTTTAAATTTTATGGTCATTCTGACTTAGCACTTTTTTACATGTGGAAGGAAATGCATGCTTTGTGTTGCAATAACATGTTCAGCAATGACTGGACTAGAATGATTATCAACGAACCAATGTTTTAGTCATTTTAAGTTCCACTTTAATTTTACCTATCGATGCCTGATTGTAAATTTTTTTGATGAATTTGAACGTGAACTGGCGCTTCGTCTGACATTATCGGCTAAAATATTTAGTTTCATTTTCTGCAGCTCGAATGTCTTCCAATGTTCGCCTGACGTGACTTTGGCTCTGAGAAAATTTTCCCAATTTTGGCCTCAGTTCTTCGATTTTCGCCTCCGTTACGGCCATTTAAGGCCAATTAGCGCCCTGGGCACGCGCGCGGGACCGAGTCGAACAACAGCTGCTGGACGATCACTGCGCACGAGTTGGTTATGTTAAATGCCTAAGTTTCGATAATTTCTTACTCAAACAAAACAATTTCCTATCACCAGTTATTTTCCCGCACAAAATTGTGGCAAATTTTGTAGTTATTCCAACAGTTTCAATTGTCGACGGAATTTGTATTCCTTTATAAAAGCGCAGTAAAAGGAAGCCACATATATGCTAGACACTTGCAAGTCACTTATATGCAATTACGGTTTCTGAAAATTCGGGAATTTAGAGTCTTGCATTACCATTAATATGCTATGTCAGGATTTTGTCTAAGTGTTTTTTTTGCGATATTTCGCTGGGATACTGGGATACTCCTCCGGACATCATGGTCCGGTTGATTATCTTATGGATAATTGCTTCTAATAAAACAGCTACGTTGTTTGATTGAACAGAAATGGCGTGTACACCACTATCGAGTTTGTGAAATTGAATAAATTTTCTATGTGGGCCTAATAATGGTTGAATTTCTGAGCTTAAAAAAATATTAGGTAAGTAAATATGCTACGGATACGAAACAGCAAATTTTTCTCAAACGTTCTTCGTGCGCACATTTTTATTGTACAATTTTCATCTCATTATAAGCGCTGACGGGTGAAAAATATTCTTTTATACGCAAGCTTTTAATATGTCTTAAATCATATTAATCGCATATAAGTGTCATTTTTATGTCGCTAAGCTATGCATTCAAGTCAATTTCCACCATATTCACCATATTGTGAAATTACTCGGCGTCTTTTTTGCTTAAAAATTCTTGCTGAAATCAACTGCCGTTGTATAGTTTAATAAATAAGCTATGCACTAAAACATTTTGATTGTATAGTTTAATAAATAAGCTATGCACTAAAGCAATTTGGTTGTAAAGTTTAATAGATAAGCTATGCACTAAAACAATTTGTTTGTATAGTTTAATAGGATAAGCTATGCACTAAAACAATTGGTTGTATAGTTTAATTGATAAGCTATGCACTGAAACAATTTGATTGTATAGTTTAATACATAAGACATGCACTAAAGCAATTTGGTTGTATAGTTTAACAGATAAGCTATGCACTAAAACAATTTTGTTGTATAGTTTAATAGATAAGCTATGCACTAAAACAATTTGATTGTATAGTTTAATACATAAGACATGCACTAGAGAAATTTGGTTGTATAGTTTAAAATGATAAGCTATGCACTAAAACAATTTAGTTGCATAGTTTAATAGATAAGCTATGCACTAAAACAATTTAGTTGCATAGTTTAATAGATAAGCTATGCACTAAAACAATTTAGTTGCATAGTTTAATATTCCTTTGCATGGCAGTTTTGCACGTGGAAGGCGTCAGCGGCAGCACTGCAGAGCTGCCATGTCCACTGAACCCACACACTCCCGGCGACCGCCCTAAGCTGGTGCTGTGGTACCGACGAGGAGACTCCAAACCAATCAGCAGGTCAGCACTAACCTGCTGTTTAACCTGAATTTTGGGATTGATTTAATTTAACCTGTATTTTGGGTTAATTTAAAGGTTAAAATCTGAATTATGGGAGGTACCGACTGGGAGACCCCGAACGGCTCAGCAGGTCAGACGTTACCTTTTATTTAACCTCGAATTAGGGGATTAATTTAATTCTTAAGATCTGAATTATGCTTGTATGCGTTTAACTTCGCAGCCGAGTTATTCTTTCTATGCTGTGGTAATAAAGACTCGATACATATTCAGTATACAGCAACGTTGTTCATTATCACGCGCTGCTCTTCTTTAGGAAGAAAACAATGTTGCATCAATGTATTCTACAGCAATGAAATCTTACATAAACTAACGCAATAGTGTAAACTAATAATTAAATGGATGACACTAAGGTGAACAGGGCAAAACACTTATTTTATAAACCATTCCTTCAAAGTTATGCCAAATAATAACAGAGAAAAACATGTTCTTTCTATTTTCTAGATAAAATGTTTATAAACCATTCCTTCAAGCTTATGGCAAATAATAACAGAGAAAAACATGTTCTTTCAATTGTCTAGTTATGATGTTTATAAACAATTCCTTTCAAGCTTATGGCAAATAATAACAGAGAAACACATGTTCCTTCAATTGTCTATTTTATGATGTTTACAAACCATTCCTTCAAGCTTACGTCAAATAATAACAGAGAAAAACATGTTCTTTCAATTGTCTAGTTACGATCTTTATAAACCATTCCTACAAGCTTATGGCAAATAATAGCAGAGAAAAACATGTTCTTTCAATTTTCTAGATAAGATGTTTATAAACCATTCCTTCAAGCTTATGGCAAATAATAGCAGAGAAAAAATGTTTTTTCAATTGTCAAGTTACGATGTTTATAAACCATTCCTTTCAAGCTTATGGCAAATAATAACAGAGAAAAACATGTTCTTGCAATTTTCTAGATATGATGTTTATAAACAATTCCTTTCAAGCTTATGGTAAATAATAACAGAGAAAAGCATGTTCTTTCAATTGTCAAGTTACGCTGTTTATAAACCATTCCTTCAAGCTTATAGCAAATAATAACTGAGAAATACATGTTCTTTCAATTGTCTAGTTATGATGTTTATAAACAATTCCTTTCAAACTTATGGCAAATAATAACAGAGAAAAACATGTTCATTCAATTGTCTAGTTACGATGTTTATAAACCATTCCTTCAAGCTTATGGCAAATAATAACAGATAAAAACATGTTCTTTCAATTGTCTAGTTATGATGTTTATAAACCATTCCTACAAGCTTATGGCAAATAATAGCAGAGAAAAAATGTTCTTTCAATTGTCAAGTTACGATCTTTGTAAACCATTCCTACAAGCTTATGGCAAATAATAAAAGAGACAAACATGTTCTTTAAATTATCCAGTTAATAATAACAGAGAAAAACGTCTTCTTTCAAATATCCAGTTATGATGTTTATAAACCATTCCTTCAAACTTATGGCAAATAATAACAGAGAAAAACATGTTCTTTCAATTGTCTAGTTGTGATGTTTATAAACCATACCTTCAAGCTTATGGCAAATTATATCAGAGAAAAACATGTTCTTTCAATTGTCTAGTTACGGTGTTTATAAACCATTCCTTCAAGCTTATGGCAAATAATAACAGAAAAAACATCTTCTTTCATTTGTCTAGTTACGGTGTTTATAAACCATTCCTTTCAAACTTATGGCAAATAATAACAGAGAAAAACATGTTCTTTCAATTGTCTAGTTACGATGTTTATAAACCATACCTTCAAGCTTATGGCAAATAATAACAGAAAAAACATCTTCTTTCATTTGTCTAGTTATGATGTTTATAAACCATTCCTTCAAGCTTATGGCAAATAATAACAGAGAAAACATGTTCTTTCAATTGTCTAGTTATGATGTTTATAAACCATTCCTACAAGCTATGGCAAATAATAACAGAGAAAAACGTGTTCTTTAAATTATCCAGTTATGATGGCCGGGCTCCACGCCTGCCATCAAACCATGCCCCGGACCGGGCGCCTGGACCGCGGCTGACAGTGTCCCGAGTAGCCGCCTCCCTGACACACCCCGCGCTGGCCGCCAGCCTCACGGGGCTGTACGAGTGTAGGGTCGACTTCTTCAAGAGTCCCACGCACGTCAGCCTCGTCAACCTCACCGTCATCGGTGAGACTTTGAACGTCGAAATTATGTATTTTCTTACATTGGTGAGATTTTGAGCGTCAAAATTAGCTATTTTCTCACATTGGTGAGATTTTGAACGTCGAAATTATCTATTTTCTCACATTGTGGTGAGATTATGAGTGACCAACTTGTTAATTTTTCTCATTTATGCCAGTTTCATTAGTATAAAACTTGTTTTGGTGTGATTTTGGGCGTCGAAATTATCTATTTTCTCACATTGATGAGATTTTGAGCGTCGAAATTATTTATTTTCCCATATTGGTGAAATTTTGAACATCAAAATCATCTATTTTCTCATTTTGAGCGTCTAAATTATCTATTTTTTCATATTGGTGAGATTTTGAACGTCTAAAACTCTAAATGATCTATTTGAGCGTCTAAATGATTTTGAGCGTCAAACTTGTTTATTTTCTCATATTTGTGTGTTTCATTGGGGTAAAACTTGTTTCGGTGAGATTTTGAGCTTCAAACTTGTTTATTTCTCTCATATTTGTGTGTTTTATCAGTGTAAAACTTGTTGCGGTGGAATTTTGAGCAACAAACTTGTCTATTTTTCTCGCATTGGTGAGATTTTGAGTCAAAAAATTTGTCTATTTATCTCACATTTATGAGATTTTGAGCGTCGAAATTATCAATTTTCTCACATTTGTGAGCCTTTTAAGTGTCAAACTTGCCTATTTTCTCACAATGGTAAAATGTTCATGAAATTCTTAGTGTAAACTTTGTGCATTTTACCCCCATTTGTGAGACTTTGTCGAAATTTAAGCAATTTTAATCGACACAAGCAATCCATTTCATGAAGTTCTTTAATCACCGAAAAATATAAAAACGCTGTGTGAAAATCCCTGATGAATTACAAGAACTGCCTTTTTGTTCGTATTTTTGCTCTCATTTTTACTTACAATTTCTCTCAAACTTGGTGAATAATTTTGCTCATTTTACAAGAACATTGTGAATCGCCGCGTCTTTTGACCACTCCAGAGGCTAACGACTGCAGCAATTAAGTCTTAAATGCATAGATTTATAAACCTCCAAAGACACCCCTCTGCCTTTGTAACTTACGACTTAATTAGACAAGCGTGATTAGCATCGAGCAGCTACTTTCTTAATGATCTCATTAATGGCTATTAGTTCGCGAAAAATGTCACAACAATAATTTCATTCTAGCTGACTGCTATTTACGGTCATTCAGTTACAATTTTTGTACCCGCCTCCTGCATCCTCACTTCCTGCACCCTCACTTTCTGCACCCTCACTTCCTGTACCCTCACTTCCTGTACCCTCACTTCCTGCACCCTCACTTCCTGTANTGTTTTGATGCTCGGCAAAGTTGTTGCGGTGCTCGACGAGATTGTTTTGATGCTCGATGTAGTTGTTTTGATGCTCGGCAAATTTTTTTCCGGTGCTCGGTGAAGTTGTTTTGATGCTCGAGGATGATGTTTGGGTGTACGACCAAGTTTCTCGTGTTCATCAGAGCCACCGGAAAGCATTGCTATCGTCGACAATCTCTCCGGCTCGTCAAGAGCTCGTCTCTCGGGCCCGTACCCGGAGGGCTCCCCTCTCACCCTTTCTTGTCTTGTCAGAGGAGGTAAGTTTATTCTTATTCATATTTATATATGAATAAGATGTTTATTCCTATTCACATATATGATATATGCATATATGTTTATAGATATGTTTATTCTTATTCATATTTATTCATATATTTACTTTCATGTTCGTTTACTATAATGTTTTTTTTATGGATTTACTGGAAAAGACTACTTTTTGTCGTATCCCTTGCTATACATCTGAATTTTTTAAAATAAATTTTCAATGTAACGCGAACAAATGAAAATCTATATTTCATTATTTTCTTCAAGGTTTCATGTCAAAAAATTGTGCTGAAATCACACACATTTTTAATTGCGTTTCAAGTTTTATATAGAATCTGAATTTTTTTTCCTAATCTCATTATAGCGTTTCATTTTTGTCCGAAATTCAGTGCAAGATTTTTCGATTGTCAAGTGGAACAGCAGATTGAGCTACTCACAGATACTATTATTCATCTAGATATGTCTCGACATAATGCACGGAGATCCAATTAAATATATCAATATCAGGTAACTTTCTTACTAAGCTCGATTCAAATTTTGAGAATCTATATATGAGTTTTCCACAAGCTTCTGCGCAATAAAAACTGAAATGTCCTCCTGCAAAGGCAATTTGTAGTCATTTCTCTGGCGTTACAGCGCCCTGATATGAATCAAGCTCCCTTCAGTAAATTTCACCGCCGTTAGGGACTTCTGAGTAAAGAATTCTTCAATATAAATGTCCATTCTTTCTGGCATTGCAATTGAAAAAATTTATTGTGTGCATTGTGCCCGACTAACAGATCTCGCCAACAAAAGAGGAACAGTTCGTACGCGAAGTTTATTTTTCATTAACTTTTTATCCGCTTCGTTTAAAAGCGATTTCTTTCTGGTAACATTCATTCGCATGTGATGAAAAATGATATCGAGTAAGAAAGAAGAGAAAAGATAGATTCTAATCTTACGATTGATGATCTGAAAGTTAATCGAAAAAGAGCAGGGTCAAGCTCTAATTCTTTTATGTTTTATCGCTTGTTTCCTTACTGTAAAGATATATATCAATAAATCTGCTCCTCTAATGTATGAGCAGCAGCCAAAAATATCATTAACATATTTTTCTGACATTCACGAGCAAACAATAGTGTAAATATTCACATACAGGAACACGTCTCGGAATATTCATATTATCAATGTGAGAATGGAATTGAATCCAATTATGGCATTTCCCTTATATTTTTCCTGCAAAGTCTTGGTTATATTTTGTAATTTAATTTTTTGGTGCTCTCGGAAGGCATTCCTCCGCCGCAAATTCTTTGGCGTCGGGATGGCATCGCCACAGAAATAGAAGCGCTGGAGACCTCAGAGCAGCAGGTTAGTTATCAAGTGAGACCTCAGAGCAGCAGGTTAGTTATCAAGTGAGAGCGCAGAGCAGCAGGTTAGTTGTCAAGTGAGAGCGCAGAGCAGCAGGTCAGTTATCAAGTGAGAGCTCAGAGCAGCAGGTTAGTTGTCAAGTGAGAGCGCAGAGCAGCAGGTTAGTTATCATGTGAGAGCGCAGAGCAGCAGGTTAGTTATCAAGTGAGAGCGCAGAGCAGCAGGTTAGTTGTCATGTGNCGAGGTGTAGGAGTGTGAAGTTACCGATGCCACTGAGGGACGATGAATTATTGATCAGGTCCCTGCGCTGCAGATGATATTATATTATAACAATATTCTATATTCGAAGTGTTGATAAATGAAGCGTTATGCAGCCTCATGGCAGTCTTATGAGGTTATGCATAACTATTTCTGTCATATTCCTTCTTGATAATTGGTACCGTGGAAAGAAAAATGACTTTTATTCTGAGGCAAGTATTCATAAATCGTCATATTAATGGCATGAGACTGGGGTGCGTGTGGAGACTGCGATGTGTGTGGTGACATGGGGGGTGTGTGGTGACTGGGGCGTGTGCATGGAGACTCGTTTGTATGTAAACTATGATGTATTGTGGGGACTGGGTTGTGTGGTCTGAATTATTCATCGCTGGGCCAGTGTCGGCGAAGAGCGTCGTGGTGCAGGGCCCAGCCTCAGACTGGGGTGTGTGCATGGAGACTGGTTTGTATGTAAAGTATGATGTATTGTGGGGACTGGCGTGTGTGTTGTGACTGGTGTGTGTGCATGGAGACTGGTTTGTATGTAAAGTAGGATGTATTGTGGGGACTGGGTGTGTGTGGTGACCGGGGGGTGTGCATGGAGACTGGTTTGTATGTAAACTGAGGTGTATTGTGGGGACTGGGGTGTGTGTGGTGACTGGGGTGTGTGCGTGGAGACTGGCTTGTATGTAAACTAGGATGTATTGTGGGGACTGTGGTGTGTGTTGAGACTGGGGTGTGTGTGGTAACTGAGGAGTGTGCATGGAGACTGGTTTGTATGTAAACTGAGGTGTATTGTGGGGACTGGCCGGGGTGTGTGATCTGAATTATTCATCCCTGGGCCAGTGTCGGCGAAGAGCGTCGTGGTGCAGGGCCCAGCCTCGACAGTGTCGGGTCAGATGGCCCGTCTGCAGTGCTGGGCCCGGGGCTCGACCCCGCCTGCCACACTCGCCTGGGCCATCAACGGCGACCCGCTGCACCCACACAGGGAGGTGAGAAGTTATTTTATTGCTTGTGATTTGTGTGCTGTATTGAATACAATTAAAAACAATTCAATATCGCTGTATTGAATACAATTACGTTGTACTATTGAGTATATTGTAAATGGTATATTGAGTCGCTGGGATATGCTGCGAGTTATGATTAAACTTTTCCGGTGATTATCTGCAACCAATTGGGAAAATATGAGATATTAACAAAAATATTCACTCGTTATAGATATTATAATATTTAATGCAGATAATATGAGATTCGTTGTAAATATGAGATTCGAGCAAAAATATTCACTCGTTACAGATATTATTATATATTATAATGCTGAATAATGAGCTTTCAAACTACATTATTGCTTCGATTCATGCAATAACATAGGAATGTAAGGAGTCTCTTTAGATACATATTATCGAATGGAAGTTATTATTGCTATATAAGCTCGAGGATTATTATATGGTGTCTCTATGCACCATAATACGTGGGGAAAAAAGAGAATGCAGTCCTCGTTGCTCCTTATACTTACGCACACGCAGGGTTGATTATTCACAGTATTCCTATTGCACAGTTAAAATTAAGATTGCGTTGGGTCAATATCTAATCGTCGGCCATGTATAATGTCTATGTTATCAACATATGTCTTTGATAGCTCACTCTCCTCTAAATCTTATTGTTTGAGCTGCAATCCTTTGATATTTTCGTTTCGTAAGACGACAGTCTCGTGTTGTCTTTGATTTGATAATTAATTTACGTTTCAGTTTTTCCTTGAATGCGGTAATTTAAAAATCGCCAGCAGAAAATCATTCTAAATGTGAAAATTTTTGCGTATTTCTGTAAGTTTTCCTGAAATTATCTCATTGCTCTTCAACGGCTAATTACTAATATTGCTAAGAATTGAAGTATTTCAATTGGTAAATACAATATGGTGTCTGTTACTGTAATTAAACGTCGTAATTATAGTGTGAGTGTGATTTACTTATAATATTTTTGTGTTGAATACTGAATTACAATTGCGTCAAAGTTTATCCTCGAGCCACGAACGAGTTTTTAATGCTTTTTCTTATTTTTAATTCACAGTGGCGGCTTCTTTTACATAAATGAATGTTTATCGTGTTTAGGAAATTGATTGCCAAATATAACGTGACGAATAACCATTTTATATTTGTCCGACTATTGTGCATGACATCGAGTTAGATCTTTTGTGGTTTTGTTTCAAAATCAATAATGCTTCTCATTTATTTCGTTCACTGCGATTTATTTACTAATGGAATGAAAGAGACCAATACAGAAACCCCAGTAATTTTATTTTGATTATTCACTTTTGAAGCTCGCATAATTCAATTATTTATTCGTTCACTGTTTTTCACTACGTATAGAGTTAGTTTGTTAATAAAAATAATGCAATAAATTTATCTTATTATACACGTGCAATCCACTTCTAAGCAATCCCTCGCAAAAAGCGCAAGCAATTTCAACACTGGTTTGCCTTCTTTAATAATAGAAGAAATTAAAAAGTAATATTGAACTGTTATAGAAGTAATGTTGAACATAGAAATTAATATAACATATAACGTAATATTACGTAGAAAGTAATATTGCATAGAAAGAAATATTACACAGAAAGTAAAATTGAACTATTAATTACACTCTAGGAGAGCAGCATCACAGAAGACGTCTCGACGAGCGAAGTCGAAGTCAAAGTTTCACCCGCAGAAAATGACGCAATCGTCGCCTGTAGCGCTGTCAACCCTGCCGTGGACGCTGTAAAACCACTCACCAACACCACCAGACTCGTGGTATATTGTAAGTAATACACACCAACACCACCAGACTCGTGGTATTTTGTAAGTGAGGCTCACCAACACCACCAGACTCGTGGTATATTGTAAGTGAGACTCACCAACACCACCAGACTCGTGGTATATTGTAAGTAAAACTCACCAACACCACCAGACTCGTGGTATATTGTAAGTGATGCTCACCAACACCACCCTATAATGCATTAGTGAATAAAATGATGACAAAATATAGTTAATGATAATATGTATACTCTGATAACCGATTTTGATCAAAATTATCACACTTGTTACAGCTTTCGAACCCCAAATTTGCTGCTCCAATCTTGGTAATACAGGGTGTTTCAGAATTAAGTAACCCTTTTAATTTGTTAATAAATAAAAAACTAAGAACGTTATGAAGTTGAAACTTGTTTTATTTAACTCACCAACACCACCAGACTCGTGGTATATTGTAAGTGAGACTCACCAACACCACCAGACTCGTGGTATATTGTAAGTGAGGCTGACCAACATCACCCTATGATGCAATAGTGAATAAAATGATGATAAGACATAGTCAATGATAATATGTATGTTGTGATGACCGATTTTGACCAAAATTATCAAGCTAGTTACAAGTCTCGAACCCCCAATTTGCTGCTTCAATTTCGGTAATACATAACCACTGAGCTACCTCGAGCTGAAATGAGGGATTTATTTTTATCTTACATAGAATATGTTGACATAGTTGTAGATTTTTCATTCACAATATTGAAGTCGTCAATTGTTTTTCAGATCCCCCCACAGTGAGCGTAGAATTCGGCCTGAGCATCGAGCTGAAGCGCCTGAAGGAAGGCGATGACGTGTACCTCAAGTGTAAAGTTTCTGCTAATCCCCCACCAGATAAAATAATCTGGTTCCATGAGGTCAGTAAATATCTTGTATGAAATATTATATGTTTATGCTAATCATCCAGTCAAAAAATAATCTGGTTCCATGAAGTCAGTAAATACCTGACATGAAACATGATGGATTTTATAATATGCTTATGAGTTCCGAGTAAAAATTTTATGGAAAAGTGTAAATTTAGCTGTAGCATGTATTGCTGTACACATCTTCGTGGTTGTAAGTGGTCTTATGAGAAATTTGCTGCCTATTATTAGGCAGCATATACAAGATATATACAAGATAAATATTATCTTGTATATGGCAGGGTGTGAATATATAGCATATAATTGAATTAAAAAATGTGAGAACAGTCTTTAATTTGTAACTCTTTTCTAAGAATTAGGAATTCGAATTCCTTGGAAAAGTTGAGGCCCTGTTGAACGGGAATAGAAGCGATTTTATCAGAGGAACTTTCTGAAAAAATTATATAAAATCTATTACACTTGCATTTTATTCTACCTAAATGCAGAATATCAATTAAAAATTAAATAAGTTTCATGATTTCAGAACGGGCCAGTCCTGCCCAACCGGACCCGCGGGATCATCATGTCAGGAGACTCGCTGGCGCTGCAGAAGGTGGACCGCCACATGGCGGGCCAATACCGCTGCTCCGCTGCCAACCATCTCGCTAACGCCACCAGCCGACCTCTGACACTCAAATTAGCCTGTGGGTTTATCAAGGCATTAATTATTCAATGGCAGATAATCCTCAGTAATAATAATTATATAGAGGGCCTTGCACTGTATTCAGAATTGTGTGTCTCAATATGCAAACAAACCGACAATGCCTCCAGCCGACTGAAGATCTGGCTTATCACCTCCTTCAGTACTTTATGCCTCTATGTTCTCCTCCGAGCGTCAGCTAATTTTCATAATTTATCCATCATCTTGTTAGATGATGCAATAACCATTATTAAAACCATTAAAGTCTGAGCTGCATGATCAGCTAACTGATATCTTTCAGCACATTATTGCCCTATATTTTCAGTAAAAAGTTGAAAATTTTGACTAGTATGGGTGTGCAACAAAAATAACATTAATAGATATCAAGGCCTGCCTCGGACTCAGTCATTTACCCAGTAAAATTTTCGTGTATAATTTCATCAAGATCATCTTCTGTAATATAGAACCACAATTATTTTACGTAATTGATACATTGGAATACCTCTACGTTTAATACTTTTCGAGCTATAAGCCTTTACTTCTAGCAACTTATTTTAGGTCACCCTGTATGAAGACACTGCTCAAGTAGGCTGAATTTTTAGGAACGTAACCATGAATCATGCGGCTGTATTTCTCCTCAGATAAGCCGGTATGCATGATGCCGTCCACGACGACGTATTTCATCTACGATCAGCCCATCAACGTGACGTGCCACGTAGCCTCTCATCCTCCAGCAACACGCATCGACTGGTACTGGAACAGCGGTAACGACATCATCAGCCTCCAGCCCACGTCTTCCATTCCAGAGACCCTGACCCGCAGACCTCCGCCCTTGTCCTCGGACTGGGACAGATCCTGGGCCCGACTTTCTGTGAGGCCCTCGAAGCACCAGGAAGACAGACAGTTGTCCTGCTGGGCCAACAATGCTTTGGGGCGACAAGAGATGCCATGCAGGTTCTTCATAAGAGTCGCCCGTAAGAATTAAAATTTGTATGATAATTAAAGCTTTGATAATAAATTTGTAAACAATTCGCTCTGTGATATGCTCGTTCTTCTCTTTTACAAGCTAATCGTCAATTTTATTTCTGTTGTAGATTAAATTGGTTTATTTTTCGTTACATTGGCATGAGTCATAGAAGTAACATTGACTTTAGGCATAAAGTATAAAGAATAATGCCATAGATGAACTCTAGACTCTTGATATGGCTTTTAGTATCACTCCGTTTTTTATCAGAAACCCCAGCCCCGGTGTCGTCATGTCGCCTGGCGAACATAACAGCGTCATCTGTGAGTCTCGCGTGCGCCTTGCCGCCGCACCCTCAGCCAGGGACCACGCAGTACTTTGCGGAGGTGAGAAACACGCTCTTCAAGCGTTGAAATAAAGCTGATTACGAGCTGATTTTGTTAAAATTACGTTTAATTAACATTTTTCAGCGTCAAAAGCCTGGTGGTACTACGGGACAATAATAACCAGAAACTCTATTTATTTTTTCAAACCGATAGCCGGGAGAGTTATTAGGAGGAGCCTTTTTCATCGATATCAGCTCGTTCTTTGGGATGTGCCGCGTTTATCAGCAAGTGTCTTGTTTATGAGGAGGTTTTATATGAATTGGTCCATGGTCAACTCATTAGAATGTGCTTGTTTTATCAGGAGTTTTATCATTGATCAGGTGTTGGGTTCATAAGATGCGTTATTCGTTGATTCTTTCTTTGGAAGGTCCAACAATGTAGGAAAAAATATTTCAGAAATTAGTTTCGTTTTTGATTGAACAGCTTAGCTTACTGAAAATATTTACGTTAAATTATTATAAGAATTGTGAAGATTATAATAGTATAATAAGAATAAAATATGTTATCAACTCCTCGTTGAGTTAATAAATCATTTTGACGAAAAAATTCTTATTTCCAATAATAACAATGGTTTTAAAGTCATCGACATCCCTGAAATAATCTATAAAAAACGTTTATCTTGTGTGATTTCATACCAGGAGGAACAGATAAAAGTATCTAAAAATGTTTTCACGTGAATTTTGTGAAAGCTGTTTTCCGCCAAAAATACCAACACGCCCCTTCAGCAACCATGTGAGCTTGTGTACTCAATAAGTACGCTTGTGTACTCAATAAGTACGCTTGTGTACTCAATAAGTACGCTTGTGTACTCAATAAGTACGCTTGTGTACTCAATAAGTTGTTTAGTTTTTGTGGAAATTTATGGTACTATTGTATAAAACAGGATGTTGTTGTGTTCATTTTCCTGTGTATGACTGTGATCTAGCATGACCTTTGCAATAGATTTTTTAGGATGATGCATAGTGTTGTTGTAGCAATTATTTCGTTAGAATTGTTTGGAATGTTCCCAGTACGATTTTTGTCACTTTAATGTAGCTTCAATTCCTTATAATCTCTGCCGACAGCGCGACCCACAACGAGCGCAAACTACAGCTACGAAGGCAGCCTGGTAGCAACTGGTATCGGCATCACAGCTTTCATCTTCATCGTTACAGTCATTGCGATCATCAGAAAAGTGTCTTTTACATCAACAAGAAATTCCATAAACCATACCCTTAGTGGTTCTCCTAAGTCTCATTTGACAAAGTCAACGGCCTCTTTGACTGGAGTAGGGGACGAAGATGCACCCGAGACTAGAGAAACTGATTTGGCTAACGTGGAAGACATGGCAGGTTTTGAAAAGAAACCGACTTGTGTTGGTACAAGCAAAACCAACACTTCCTCAGATGACGAAAGCTACAATTTCACAAAGATAGACGGCAATCAAACTAGCGACAAGCTTAGTCTTTCACCTTCCGTTAGATTTGGCACCGAATCTGGGCGCTCCGAATACCAACTAATGCTTCCGAAAGGCGAGAAAATATTCGATAATCGTCTAAGTCCGGAGGGAAGGAAAGACGACGCTTATGCCGACGTCGTCCCTACAGCAGGTGTTGCTGTCTTCCCGAGAGCCCCTGATGCTTGGATGGAATTTATCAACGATGAACTCGCCCTCGCGTCACCTCGTGAGGTCTTGCTGGCCGAAATGACTTCCAGATGACAAGAAACAGAGAGCGTCGACGAGGTCACTCATCGCCGCTCCGTGAGATCTTAGTAATTCTCCTCTAAGAAAGCGCTATTCTCAAACAGAAATAATAATTATATGTCACGTAGTACGAGATCTGGTGCATCCTTCCTCCTCCCACAGCACCAATGAATATCAAGGGAATGTTAGGTTTAGAAATATGTACTAGCCTATAAGCAATACAATACATTTACTGCCTAAACCTGAGAGTTTAATTACCCAATATCATACACAATGAATCATGAATAATTTGGCTTCCTAGTTTCGAAAGTAATAACAAACGATTTTTTGATAAATATCAGTAAAAAAATTGGATACCATGCTAGCCACTATTACCTCAAATGGAAAGACTCCTACCCCCCTTCATTTGCTATCAGTGGCAGCTCCATCAGCTCTCATGCAGAATAATCTGCTTTTCTTTTTAATTGGCATTATCTTATTACCTAGAGCGATTATGCTAACAAATAATGCCTTTTCATCACATAACAAATAATGCCTTTTCATCACATAACAAATAATGCCTTTTCATTCGCGTATTGAAAAATCCTATGTTAGAAAATAATACTCGCACTAACAATGACCACAAACTAAAAAGCCAAACATAGATTATAACTAAGAACTCTTTTGCGCAAAATTAGGTGATTCATATACAAATATTATATATTTGCATCACTAGTAGCATGATCATACAGTGATGACTCCCAGCGCATCACGGCACCGTAAGAGTCTTTTGCTGGATAGAATAACCAGCGTTGTAAAATAACGAAATAAAAATGTTTCCTACTTAACTGAGGTGGAAATTGTCCTCAATTTCCATAAGTATATTTTTTTTATTCAAGCAATTTTTAGCAGACCGAGACAGATTCGTGCGTAATTGCTGCATAACAGCTGACAGAAAGCACGGGATAACATCGCATATTATGCTAATCTTTACATCAGTAAAAATCATTCAAGCGTTCATTTTAATCATGCATATTGGAGACAAGAAGGCTAGCCTAGTAAATTCTGGTATGTACGAGGTAACAATTTAATATTTTCGTTTTCATCGTGGCATTAGTTATATAAGTTTTATTGAATTTTATTTTCGTTGCTGTTATTACTCCTGTACTATATCTACCACTATATTTTTAGAAGTTTTCTAACCATGACAAACGCTTCCTAGAGTAGATGGCATGAATGGATTCTTTTACTTATGCTCTGAACCTAGAGTCCATCCCTTCTCTCAAGCATTGTGAAGGTAGAGGCTGGATTAATTATGCCTCTAATTATGATAAACCGATAGACCGATCAAAATAAAGATGCATTGCCGACAGATAACAAGATAAATGATCCAAAAATTGACGCACATAATTTCAATAATTTAGCTATACACCCGATTGAGTGATGATATTTTAGTTTTTCGGGATTTAGCGTCGATATGATGCTACAAAAGACCGCGTACAAAACCTCCTAGTTTTTAATATAAAAATAAAAATCCACTCACAAAATAAAATTCATTCCCTTCAAATCCAATGTAAATAAGTCAAATATAAAGCACATCATGGTTAAAAGAAGAAGTTTTAACCTCAAAGCTGTTTTTAGCGCATTTTCTCATTATGAAAAAAAAATGCACTATTGTGCTCACCATTTCCGTCTGTCCGTCCGCCTGTCCTTCTGTCTGTCTGTCCGTGACTTCACGTTTTCGTCGACGAGAAAATGCGCTCTCTGTCATTTACTGCAGTGAGTACTGAGTTATATTTTTTTACATTACCCGTGATAAATTCTCAGTTCAATAATGTCCAGTTTCAGTTCAATAAAAATTCAAGAATGCTCTCGAGGAATCGAAACAAAAACGTATCGGTGCTTTTGGAATGACATGATTCGCTACAATTTCTTACCAATTACGAGTTACATAACATAGATGAGTCGATATTATTAATGCACTGCATCATTTTAGGATATCTAATCGTCCACTGTTAGCGGGTTCGATTGATGCTTAAATAGATCGACCCCATGTAATGGACCTACTTACCAATGATGAATTATTTATTCCTGTATATGTTGCGCAGGAAAGGCTTCTTAGAAGACCAGCTGCGCTTCCCACAGGTAAGCCGGTCACTCCAAGTGCAGCACAACAGCCTGACTATCGCCAAGTGCTACACTTCCCACGACAGAAGGCCACTGGCTCTTGATACGAACTTGGACTTGGATCAATAACTAAATTTTACTCTCACAGTCGGTCAGTTGGAAGGGAATAGTAGGCAGTAGAGCATCACGGTGCGTCAAGACTGAATTTTTCAAATTTTATTCATTTTACCCCCTGCCAACATGAGGTTCGAAATCCTTCCTTGGATGGCAGTGGTGCTAGTCCTCGCCAATGTCGCCTTGGCCAGCACGAAGAGTGACAAAGAAGAGAAATTGATTTCGGCCATCGAGGACTTGTTAGAGAAATTAGAAAAAATCGAAGACCGAGCCAGTTTCTTGGACGAGAGCATCCGACGCGTTGAATACAAAACTGGTCGTGCGAAGTATTCTCGTGCTGATCCATACTTTCCGTGCCCGAACCCTGTTGACATCGCGCCGTGCATTTGTACAGTAAATGAAATAGAAGTCTACATGGACATGGATTGTAGCGGGATAGTCTCTAATGAAGATCTTAGACGTGTTTTCAGTTCCACAATGCCGTTCTACAGGTACCGTCAGCTCACCATAGCTGGTGTTCAAAGTTCACAATTTACTACCTTGGATGAGTTTTCATTTGGTCCAGTTGGTTTTGAAATTGTGAATATCACTGGAACTTTGTTACAGTTTATTCAAGATGGAACTTTCGCTCCTTCCGAAGAATATTTGACTGCCCTTCACCTAACAAAAAATAAGATTAAAACTTTCCCATTTGAATCGTTGAAAACACTGACGGCACTCACAACACTGGACTTGTCATATAATGATTTAGGAATAGTTCAAAACCTCGAATCAAGCTCGTTGCGAACGCTTAATCTTGGACATAATCCTTCACTGGAAATTGGCTCACAACTGATATTGAGTATGCCTGCTCTTACAAGGCTCTACTTACAAAACGGAAACCTGTCCAGCTTTGACCCCGGTGAACTGGGGCCCAATGGCTTGACTTATATCAATCTAGCAAACAACAAAATTACAAATCTTATAAAAGATAGCATTGCTTCAACGAATTCTTGGACGACGGTTCATCTTGATGGGAATCCTCTAAGCAATGTGGACGTAAATTTTCTCTCGGGTATGTTGATACTGGAATACTAATTGCATGTTCATTCTTTCAATATAAAAATTACGGCGTTGCAGAGGAGCAACGCATGTTATAATTTATTCCTACCTCATGATATTAAAAAATAATACATTCCGTGGCATTTTTCTTAAATGTAATGTACATGACAGATGAGGTATGAAAAAAACTGTTGTTGCTGGATAAATCGACTTTTTGGCTGTTTAAGCTGTTCTAAAAAGTCAAATTACCTGATAAATTACGCAATAAATTTAAGCTCAAAGTTCAAAAAGACTGCTTTCTGCTCAAAATTAGTAGAGCCAGAATAGCAAAAGCCTGCCTTTTCGAATTTATAATAAAAAAGCGAGGTACTCATCAGCATAATCCTTTGTATTGCAGAGGTTCATGTCAACGCCACCATAGCGCTGGTCGGCACAGAGATTGTTGAATTCGACAAGGATGTCTGGAGGGCTTATTTAGAGAGGCTGACGTATGGAAAGGTCGACATGACAAGTTAGTACGGTTAATTTAAAAACGTAAAATTCCCTTAGTAATCAATAATTGATTATCAGAAGTTTGATGTGATGATGATGACCGTACACTAGCAAATTTTTCTACCGGTTCGCTTTTACAAAAAATATTAACATCTTATAGCCATGTTCTAACCTATAAACTCCCATTGCATGTTCATAACCCTAATGTTGGAAGCTATTTAAACTACCATTTACTTGCATTGCACTATACAGGGTGTCCCAAAAAAAACTATACTCAACTTGAAATGGATGTAACTCGAAAAGTAATAGAGTCAAGAAATTTTGGAAGGTCAGGATTTGTTCCCTATGTTTTTCTCCATCTCTCCATCAAAAATCAGACAGATCGATGTAGCCTTAAGCGTTGGATAGAACTTTCAGTGACATGTGCTAAAATCGTGCTTGCGCAAAGCTTTAGTAAGATCATTTTGCATAATCATAACGTTGTCTTGACATGTTTTCTTTTCGCTGTTTTATTTTTAGCGCATTTTCTCATTTATGAAAAATGCACTATTGTGCTCGCCATGTCCGTCTGTCCGTCCGTCCTTCTGCCCATCTGTCTGTCCGTTTGTCTGTCCGTCCGTGACTTCATGTTTTCGTCGACATGAAAATGCGCTCTCTGTCACTCCCTGCAGTAAGTATTGAGTTACATTTTTTGTATCTTTGGTGAGACAAAAACATGGCAATCTTTGGTGAGAGGCAACCTTTGGTTTTGAAATTCTCTCTCACCAAAGATTGCCATCATTGTCTCTCACCAAAGATTGCCATGATTGTGTCTCACTAAAGATTGTCATGATTGTGTCTCACCAAAGATTGTCATGATTGTGTCCCACCAAAGATTGTCATGTTTTTGTCTCACCAAAGATACAAAAAATGGAACTCAGTACTCACTGCAGTGAGTGACAGAGAGCGCATTTTCTCGTCGACGAAAACATGAAATCACGGATGGACAGACAGACGGACAGACAGACGGACAGACGGACAGACGGACGGACGGACAGACGGACATAGCGAGCACAATAGTGCATTTTTTCATAACTGAGAAAATGCGCTAAAAATCAAACAGCGAAAAGAAAACATGTCAAGACAACGTAATGATTATGAAAATGATCTTACTAAAACTTTGCGCAAGCACGATTTTAGCACATGTCACTGAAAGTTCTTTCAAACACTTATGGCTACATCGATCTGTCTGATTTTTGGTGGAGAGATGCAGAAAAACATAGGGAACAAATCCTGACCTTCCAAATTTTTTTAACTCTATTACTTTTCGAGTTACAGCCATTCAAAGTTAGGTATCGTTTTTTTGGGACACCCTGTATAGTGCATTGAGGGAACTGAATAATGAGATCCTACTTCATAATCCGGGTAGATTCGAGTCCACAGATAGACCAAAAACTTAACCTTGTAAAAAAAATAAATTTTTATTCCAGCAGGAGTTGGATATTTGTAAATTCTTAAGACGATTTTACGAATTTTCCAATAAGCAGTAATTTATGCTTTGCACTGAAAATCTTGACAGGTTCCCTGTGATGGAAATTGACAGATGCATTTCCGAAATTAAAAAATAATGAATGGCGCTGGATTTTCGCTAACGTTTGATTGCACATGCGAATATTTTAGTCCTTAATTTTGGCTATCGTGCGTAAACCTAGGCTTAGCCTAAATTTATTCAGTAACCGGTGAGGTAACATGAACATTGTAGCAAAGCAGAGGTTCTTTGGAACAAAATTACAATTGATACGACCCATTTACGGATTTCTGTCACACCCAACTTCCCGCACAAATAATTTATTCCATCAGCATTATTACCTAATACAATTAATTCCTACATGAATATAAAAATAATTGACAGAACTTAACAAATTGAAATAGTCTTTTTTTTGTTTAATTAGCCTCCTCCAGACACTTTTACATGGTATAGAGTTGTTAAAATTTATAGTACACAAATCACATACGAATTGAAACACAATTAATGAAACACAACAACTCTCATAATTAATGTGAAAAGTTATTTAGTAAATAATCTTATACTTTGGTTACCTGAAATACAGACAACCCGCTTCGCTGCGGATGTGACATCGCCTGGCTCTACGACGCTGCCAATCTGTACACAAAACTCAGCGACACCAGCGCCTGTTCTGACGGCACCTTACTGAGCGATATCCCGCCTGAGGCTTTCCCTTTCCACTGCCCTTAGGCACTGAAACCAACGTCTGTGGGGCTGCAATCCAGTTTAATGAACCGGCTTTTAGTTATTTTTACATCAAGATGTGAACTTTCGAAGCACCGGAAAACTTTTTGAAGAATTTCTCTAAAACTTTTCAGAAAGTAGTCAACTTTAGTGCAATTCAAATAATATATTAGTCAATGCTGAAACGTCAGAAAGGGGAATTGCTCAATACCTTGGAAATAAACTTGAAGTGACTCAATTTTTTTTATTCTTCCTGTGAACAATACTTCTGTGTTCTGTGTGATAAGAACTTAAATGATGTCGAAAGTATTTCAAGCTCAATTAATACCTCTTATATTCAAAAATGAAGAACCATTCGTAATATAATTCTTATATTAACTGGATCCAAACAAATTTATTAACCGTACAAAGTGGCACCGCTGGTCATATTTTAGTATTTGCCACCTCAGCAGTAAATTTTTACTAATGATTGATTTCTAATAAAAGCAATTCACATATAGCAAATTTAAACAACTTTCATTTGAGTTCACTATGTCTTGTTCTGCTCCTTGAGTATGAATGGATTCAAGACTATGTTCCTTCTGTGAATCAGTAAAATCACCAAGAAAAAGAATAATCATTGCCGTCTATATCGGCATCATTATTTATAGTTCTTAATTACTTAATCATCTGGTGGATGGGATGAAGAATTTTAAAAGCGCAGCTTTTCAATTAAAAAAGCCTTAGCGATGGAATCTCAAACCTAATAAAAATCAAATATACTGGCGTTGCAAATATTACTTAAATTGTTTTACACGTTCAAGAAGTGAGGTATAACAAAAATGTTATTTTGGGAATATATTTCTATGTAATTCTGATCCGAATTATTGGATGCTCTGTTTAGAGACGTTATTGCAACGTAATCGTTATATTCTACTTAATCAGCCAGAGATCTGTGGTGATAGTGATCGATAAGAAATATGTATAATTGAACACCTGAACTCAACAAATGAATAATGAATTTATTTTTCATCAATTCAAGTAAAACTTGTAAATTTCATATCTGACTAATATGTCAAACGTGAAATAATCAGTTACTATAGCGAATAACTGAATAACTATTAACTTAGTTGATGTTGAATTAAAAAATGTTGATTTGGCAACGGGTGCACAACAAAAGCTGCCGCAACAAATTATCGCTGTTGATAATTGATTAAAATTTCTATCAACCGCCAAAAAATTTTGCTCATATAAATAATGTGCAATTTAAACTAAAAAGCAGGGATTTGACAGGTGATGAAAGCAAGTCTGGAAAAAAATTCTGATATTATCAAATTAAGTCTGTAGTTGTAAAATTTTATCTAGCAAAAAACGTCGTTTGTTTGACAAAATCGTGATTATTCACCAGAGAAACTTGGATCAAGAGAAAGACAACTCAGGCCTCAGTACTTTAATTTTGGGCATCTTGCCAGTAGGTGCACAAGCGACAGTGGCAGCTACGGTCAGTTCACATTCTACTGGTAAATGATACTCTAACTGGGAATTTGACATCATTCATCAATCATATTTTTTCTAATCGCAGTTATTGTTAATGAAGTCTTTGCTGATTTCCGACACCAGCACTCCAGCATGACATGAGCTTTCGGGAGAGATCAGGCTCAAGTAGTTGTCGTTATTGACGATCCACTTGAAGTCGCATCCGCACTGCAACGGGTTGTCTGGGAATTGACGCAATTTACAGTATTATTAGGGGGAAGACAAAATAATTAAGTACAAACAAGCTCTATTTTTATTTGGATTCCAAAATTTAGGTTTGAAGCTCCATTGTCATTATTAATTGTTTCACGTTAATACTTAGTTTTCAAAATTCAATTAGATCATATCAACAGTTCTTAATAGTATAAATAAATTTTAATTTATAATAAAAAATTGTTTGGACTAATTAATTTCATTGTAATAACTACATTGTTGAAAGTCTCCAAGTGGACTCGATACGTTTAATTAGCAGAATTAAATTAATGCTAAAGCCGTGAATAGTCCATGCTTACTAGAACATGTGATCAACTCACTTTTCAGCCATTATTTTAAGGTATTGATTATGGCCTGTATTTTACAAAATTATAAAAATATAGGAAGCCACAACTTAACCCTTTAGTGACCAGTTAACTTGCGAGTGCGAAATACTATATTGCATGCATACCACTTTGCTGAAATTTATTCATTGAACAAAAAACCATAAAGGTGACAAGAACCTTCTACTGGGCATAGCGCAGCCTGATATTAAAGCCAATATATTTGTCCAATCGGACGAATGAGCATCAAATTTAAACAAAAATACCCCAATGGAAGGCGACAGATATGTACAGCTAAACGCCATAGGGTTGAATCAGTCAACTCACTGCCTAAAATTAGGGATCCACCGTTGACAATCTGCTCGAAAATCGGCTGCCAAATTGTTTCATCGAGTACAGTGATGTCGTTATACGACAAGTCGATAGTTCCGTCTGGAGCCATTCCTGAAAAATAAAATATAATTGAGACCGGTTGCATAAAAACTTTATTCGGGTATAAGGTAACCCGTCAATAACATATTTGTCTGAGTCCAGAATGTATTTGTAATCTTATTTTATGTTCCAAATTTAAATGTTTCTTTACTTATGAAGAATTAAAAGTAAAGAACTTATAAAGAACTTTACCCTTCTTAGTTAAATTAAATGCCACAATTATCTTTTTATTAAAGAATATAATGGTATTTTTCTGATATTTTCATTCTTTTCTACCTAATTTTTTTGTGACTGAAAAATATTCAATTGTTTGCTCCAGAGCTATTTAATTTATATTTCATTTAATTAATTTATATTTCGCCATGTAAATATTCGTTTTGTGAGATTGTGACTCACCGCTGATAGCTCCCAAGTGTACATCATTTATTCCATTGTTGGCCAGGTACAACTTTGTGATAGTGTGTTGAGGAGTGAAGAAGGTACGTGTGTCCAGTTCCTTAATTGAGTTTTCTGAGATATAAATTTCTGCGATGTTCTGAAGTGTGCTGAACATGTCCGGTACGAGGTAAGTCTGTCCAGTGTTGGCCAAGTACAACGTTCTCAAGTTGGGCGCACCTACAAAAGTTTGGTCTCCGAATGTAAGATTCAAGTTGGTATTTCCATTCATCATGAGTGTCAGCAACGATGGAGAATTCACTTTCGGCAGCTCAATTAACTTATTGTTCTGCAAATTGAGTGACCGGATCTTCTTGTACTCCGTCAAGACTTGGAAAGGGAAACTCTTCAGTTCATTGCCGCTCAGTTTCATGGTAGTAAGAGAATCGTGTGATCCATCGAAGACGTTATCTTCAATAGCCTGTAGCTGAGTCCCTGTTATATCCACCGAGTAAAAGTACTTGTCATCGAAGACTCCACTTGTGAGATTAATTATAGGGTTTTTGTAATTTGGGTTATCAATTTTGAAAGTGTAAACATCATCGAATGGGAAGGTGTGGGCAAAAGCATTCCGGATTTCAGATTCATCGGTGACAGCGGAACAATCAATATCCACGTGATATGAAATATCCGATATGCAGGTGCATGGCGAAATATAATCGTCTATGGGACAAGGCCAAGCGGGTTCCGCAGCTTTAACAGTATGGATGTGTGCAAATCCACACACAAGCAGCACAGTAAAAAGTTTACAGAGGGACATGGTTCTTCTGCACGTCCTTTGCTAGCCCTTGCAAGTACAACAATGAAGACGAACGCTTAGATAATTTATCGTCTTATAAATGATATCATTATAAGATTCTTACATATAAAAAATTAGGGCACAAAAAATATTTTCAGCATGCGATTATAAAATTTTTATTCCCACGGAGACACGAACATCTGTTATCTTCACACGAGTTTCTGATGTATGTAACATGCATGACGACCTCAAGTGAACATGGTTTTGTGTAACATTTTCATCACAATTATGCTTGCGGGGTATATGCTGAATTTCTTTCTTGTTAAAACCCCGAAACGATAAACATTATTTTGCGTGAGTTTTCACCACGAATCATCAACACAAGCACAGTGCCGTAACATGTTCAACAGATTTATAAATAGAACGTCTCATAATAAAAGGTGATAAATTATTCTTTAGGTCAATTTTGAGGCTCAATAATAGAGCAATTTGAAGCTTTTAAAGAGTAATTAAGACTTTCATGCCAGCTGAAACATAGGTATGCGCCATTGTAACTTTACACAATTTAAGATCGCATGGTTTTAATGTGTGTGAAATGGTACAATTTTCAAATGAGGAATTAAATATTCTTGCTATATTTTTCTTAAAGCAATGTTTTTTATCAAGAGAAATTGCATGAATATAACAGACTTATTATGAGCCATAATGTGTAATGACATATGGAGAAGAATTAAATTTCCCCATTATTTCATTTTGTGCTATCAATAAGCACGGCCGGCTTACTTTGATGGCTCTCAGTGCTGCGATTGCGGTATAGATCATAAAAAGATATAACACGAAAATAAGCTATTATAATAATATACTCGTATGATAATATCAAAATTGGGATAATGTTAGACGAATACTTTCCAAGTACTTCTTTACCCATGCACTTTACCTTGTTACATAGAGCAGCTTGAAGTGAGGCGATAACGCTGTGAAATAAAACATCCATGCAACTTAACATGATGTGGGAAACATCATTGCAGCCAAACATGTTGCGGTTTTCATCTCCGTATGAATTTTGCACTATTTTTTAATAGATATATGGTGCACTTAATGGACGAGATTATATAAGTACATATCGAAAGAATTTTGTGAATTGTACATTTTTCATTTATGGTATTTGATGCATTTAATGGACGAAAAAATCTACATATTCTTGTCGTCATGATTTTACAGAAAAAATACTCAAAACGCTAGGAATTAATTATACTCGAAAAAATTGCTAATGCATCAATGATGGTATTAAGCATTTTCTTGTATTCAAATTGAAAAAGTTTAGCGGGCTTGTCAAAATAGTGAATTTAGCCCAAGTTTAGTGCAAACGAAATTATAATTTTTTTTAAATAATATAATAAAATAGAATTTTCGCAATAGAGTGTCAACCTAATTTTACTTCGGAGTAGGTAAGCTGATGCAACGAATTCCTTGGTGAAAACTTTGTACTCAGAGAAAAAACTCGTTAATTTGTTCATCATTAATACCAAAATCAGAGCAATACCATGAAATTGAGAATCGGAGGCAAAAACTCCATTTTCGTAGACATGAATATTTAATTTGGCAATATAAATAAAGAATAAACAAGAAGATCGGCCAAACCCGTTGAAAAGGTTTATTCTCATAATTTTGGTGTAAAGTATTAAAGTTAATTGATGATAGAAAATACCTATATCAATATCTAAACTGCTACATGTCAGCTTCTCTCGGCCACTTTCCTTAATTAATGATTTCAAAATTTGATTTATTTCTTTGAAATAAATTCAGAGAAGGAAATAATTAAAAATATATTATCATTTAAACAAATCATCAATACGTTCTTGCATTAAATCGTACAAGTAGATTTTGAATTAAATGATCATTTTAGCTTCGTTTCTACCCATTCTTCATCATCACTGCGATGAAACGTCTTAAGTTCTCTAATATAAGATGATTTATTACGTTAATGAATAATACAATCGGCAATTTAAATTAACAGCATATCCTTTTTAGCGCATTTTCTTATTTATGGAAAAAAGGCGCTATTGTGCTCGCCACGTCCGTCCGTCCGTCCATCCGTCTGTCTGTCTGTCCGTCCGTGACTTCACGTTTTCGTCGACGAGAAAATGCGCTCTCTGTCACTCACTGCAGTGAGTACCGAGTTATATTTTTACTCAATCTGCAGAGTAACTAACACGCCACATGAACCTAAAAAGAAACTAAATAAGAGTGAATAAGTGAATAGGAAAATAAATAGTTATTCGGAATCTCAGAATAGATAAATGGATGATAGTGAATCTTGACAGAAAATTAAAATAAATAAGCTCTTGGTAATGAATTGAATTATGACAAAAAAGACTTGAAGAAATATTTTTTTAAGTTTTCCATTGAGCTGTTCTCATATTGAGGCTGCTACTAGTTTTTTTGTGCTGAACGAAAAAATTCGCAATTTTACATTGCCTATTTCCTGCTAAAAAGTATGGTTAATATTCTGAACAAGGGAACGATCAGAGCCATTTATAAAATTCTGAACACTCATTTTTTTATTTAGCGCGCGACATTAATATGTTACTTGTGTTACAACTCAATATAACAATATTATAAAAATCTCATCACTTGATGTAAAGGAAATTGGTTTAAAAACTGTAACTTTCTCTTGCTCAGGGAAGAGGTTCATCACTATTAAAATTATATTGAATATAATTCAATACATGCTCGTGACATGGTCTTTTGTACAACACACAATCAATAAACTTGGTTCCATTGAAGAAACAAATGAATTTTCACTCTAATTTGATCCTACAATATTTCGAAATTTTTGCCTCTATACCAAAAACTTTTGCCGCCCCCAGGTATGGTAGTTGGTTGTTATATATTTGAACTACTTTATTTACAGACTCAGTAAACAAGAATTAAATTTCTTTACCAAGTTTGGAGGCTTCTCCATTGTGTGTATTGTTGACTCTTTTCGTTAAATGGGAGTAAAATTTACAAAACATGTATGCAGGAAAAAATGGCGGAAAAAATCTAGCGACAAGATTTTTACAATGGTGAGTTTCATAAATGAGTCGACCTTGAGAAAGATAATAAAGATTCATACATATATAAAATAACCTTTTATAATAAAATTCCTTGTTAACGTTACGTTAATTATATATTTGCACAAAATCTCTACATTTTGTTAAATATCATTATGATTGAGCATATTATCTTATTAATATTTGTCACAGTTAGTTAGTGAATTTGAAAGTGCGTTTGAAGCCTGGCCCCTCAAATATGTAGGGGCTGATCGAGCGCGTTTCCAAGATACTTATCGTGTAGGAATAAAATCTGGATCAAAAATGTATTTTTTTTTGTGGGAGAATAGCCAGGCATTGCAAAACTTGGAGGCATGTTGGATCAAAAATTAGAATTGGAATTTTACATAACTATTTGTGTATGAATTACGACGCGAAATTTTTTGCAGAATGTGTAGATGCAAAATAGTTATGTTGGCTACGGTCAATATTATTGTTTGCCCGTTTCGTTAACCGAATTTGAATGAAACTTGAGAGTTACACTCAGTTTTGAAAATCTGCCGAATCTTCCTGAACGACATTTCATTCTTAGTAAAATAAATAATTTGTTTATTTCCCACAGCAGCAAATATTATTTTGCTAAAGCCTAGTATATACACGACGTCAGTGGACCTACAAGTTCCGTTCGCTTGGACTGGATTTCCACATTAAAATAAGGACCACCACAGCCTCTGATTACCAGAATCAGAAGCTGCTATGCCTCAGAATTTTGTTTGTGTTTCTTCATCGGGCAATTGAATATCGTTTATCGTCATCATCAATTGGAAATCATTTGATGCTTCTCCCGTCCCGTAAGATTTGTTTCTTCTCCAGTAAATGAGTCCTGCGACGCATGCGGCGATCACAATGCACGCAGCCAACGAAGCTATCGGGACTATCCAGACTGCGTTGTTTTTTTAGTGCAATGTTGCGGCGGTGACAGTCACAGCTTCGCTGCAACCTCCTCCATTGCACGCCTGAGGTGAGAAACACGGGATACAGCATCAGAGAGTCAAAAAATTCAGAGGTGATTTGAACGAAAAAAAAATGAAAATTAATATCATATATATTTTACATCGAATATATCCTCGATTCTTGAGTTCACGAGGAAAGTTGTTTTCACGTACAAAATTGAATGATCCAGTGGTGATGCTTGAAAAGTTTAGTTTCCCTTGTCGTTGACGAATGATATGTTCAGTAATGAAAAATGCCTTTCTAAATGTTCCCTCGGACTTGCCCTCAACAAGAAACAAAATGGGGCAGGAATGAGTTAGTATTTCCATAGACTAATTTCAACGTTTCATGCTTGTATCATAGCCTTTCACCACCAACAAAATATTGTACATGGTATCACTGTACAAGTTCTCGACTGTGACTCCCTCTTGTGAGCTGGTGTTGGCCACAAACAACATGTAGCCGAGGGCCTTCCATTCCAATGCTCGGGCGCCTGCCGAGACAATGTGATGCTCTCGATGTCGACTTGTGATACAGCAAATGACGTCGGCTCACTTGGTGCTGACAAGACAGGCATATATTCCTTATTCGTGAGTTTCTGGTACTCTAATAAAATAAGTTATTACAAGTTTTAGGATAACTTTATTCCTTAAATCGCAGGTTCATCAAGAATTTAAAAGCAAAGAAAACAGTCAATAAATTCACCATTTCATGGAAATGAAAACGTTTCGGAGTTCAGCTCAATTGTCAGTTCAAAACCTATGAGACAAACAGAATCAATCAGAAAACTAAAATTCACATTTAAGATAAAACTTAAATTTACAAAAGAATAAAAATACACAATAGGTGACAGGTCTATCTATTTACAATTTCAAGGGGATAGGAGCTGAAGGATGCATTTAAACTAGGTTTCTGTTTAAAAATACACAGGGATTCTAAAATTCGTAGAAAACATTCTGTCGCACGCTTCCGAGATAGCCTACTTATTGTGTCGGCATGGTGCTGCTGCTGGTGCCATTCAAAAACTGGCGATGGAGCTGGACTCCGAAACGTTTTCATTCTTAAGAAATAGTCAATTTTTTGGCTGTTTTCTTTGCTTTTAAATTTTGATAAGTAATCACAAAAAACGCAACGTAAATGAGCTTTTTTTAGTATTGAATCGAAAATCAATTAAGATATCAGCATTGGTGATTTTCAATACTTATTAGGGCATTTTTTCATTTATGGAAAAAAATGGGCGCTCTGTCACTCACTGCAGTAAGTATTGATCTAATTTTTTTGAAAGGGCTCATCTGATAATTTTTTATTCTTATGTTTATTTCGAACCACTAGTCTCATAAATTTTAAGTTCATACTCATAGCTTTCATTCGCGGTGCGGACGTAACCATATTCTTTGATGATGATGGTTTTTAAATATGTTCTAAATAACCAATGCTGAATATGAAAGAAAAAATACCATATTCTTTAAGCCTAGAAAAAAATAACTAATTATGTCAACTATCCTTTGAAATTCAATTTTCTCACCATCTTCAGTCCTCGTGCATGTGCAGCACTGTTTCAGTGACTGCGATTTTTGAGGAAAATAAAGGGTCAAACACACTTGATACTCCTTGTATGGGTGTAGCTTCACCAAAGAGCAGGAATTCGTTGGGCCTGAAAAGGTAAGTAAAATAAAAAAAAGCAGCAGTGATGAGTATATTTACCCACCTCGGAAAGAAAGCTCTTGAGAATTGAAACTAATAAACGAATAAGCATGAGATTTTCGAACTATAACTAACTATCATACTCGGCAGGGTGGCCCAGTGGTTAAAGTTCAGAGTACCAAGATTGGCGCAGAGAGGCGCGGGTTCGATCCCAGCTCTGTGCGCCAGTTTCTGGTCAGAATTGGCAAGGAGGCCGGGCGGTTAAGCACAGCAGAATTGTAGCAGTGTAATGCGAGTTCGAGACCGCAAAATACTGTGAATGTTTGCAATGTTGAGAATCGGCGACAGGCCTACGGCCTACTAAACTCTGAAACCGCTATTACATAACCGGCGCCTATGCAACACTACCCCTTTATCAAGTTCTAACCTGGAAGGTACACAAAGGTTGTAAAAAAGACGTTATCTTCCCACAGAGAATCGCCGGTACAGCTGATGAAATACCCAAACTCGTCGCATTTCGGCCATGAGTGCCAAAAAATGTTAATTTCCGACGGTGACATTACCTCGCAGCCAAAATTTGATGCAAATAAAACAGGAAATGTACATAAATCAATGCACTGGGTCTGGGATTACTGAGCTCTTCGATATTTCATCCGTGAAATCGCACGTATAATGTGGCTGGTAATTGATGCTCTATTTATTTCATTTATTGTGGATATAAATTTCATTTATTGTGGATAAATGAAAATGCTTCTAAAATTTTCCTTTAATCCGTAAAAACGTAATTCGAGCATTCGATAATTGAACCCCAGTGATATGAATATTGTTTTCAATCAGTTAAAATTCTAGAGCCCTTCGAGTTTAGGGCTTTACTAGGAAATATTTATTATTCGAACATAAAAAAATCTATTTTAAAATATAATCGAAGTTTTTGAGTGCTCTAACTGTGATTTAACTTTAAAGTGCTCAAACAGAACGAATTATCTATTTAACTTCTCATGGTAAGACGATGGGAATTCTTATCTGTCAGCAAAATTCATCCATTAGAAAGTTCCTATGTCAACTTCGGCCCACTCGCCAACTCCGGCTCTGTTCACAGCCGCGATTTGTAAGCTGTAGTTTGTACACGACAAGATGTTTTCCGTCAGATTTTTCTCCGTAGTTCCGGGATCCACAGTCGCTGAAAAACTGGCGTTTGTATCCAAATCGTCGATGATGATTATATAGCTGGTGATATTTCCATTAGCCTGCGCGGGAGTGTCCCAGTCAATGAATATTGTCGCTAGCGTGGTTGTATTGCTTGTAATCTCGGGTGCGTTACTTCCTAGCAGGAAAACATGTTAAAATAAAGCATTTCCACAGTCAGTGATCATAGAATGAAGCCAAATTTTTATCAGTTGTATCTTAGATGATACGGGAAAATGTAGAAAAATATTGGCAAAAGAAAATTTAGCAAAATTCAAAGATTATTCATAACTCGAGATTAGTAGATTTCTGAGACTCAATATATTCATGTAGCTTCTTGTCGATAATTAGTGCAACAATCAACAATATACATGGTTTCAAAATTGCTTCCGTAGAGACTCTTAATTAAAATAAAATCTTGTTAATGGCATAACATCGTTTTCTTACTAATATTAACTTATTATGATGCAGTAATGATAATAACTGACCGAAAATGGAACTTCTTAAGCTCAACACGACACTCTTTATTTGCACTACAACTAACTTGCGTCATCAGAAGTGATATTGCAGACATCCGCCGATCCCTGCTCGGTGGTGACACGGGCTTCATAAAACGTGCCGGGGAAAAAATCATCGGGTGGAATCGCGAACATGTTCTGCTTGGTGTCATTAAACTGTGAAAATTTCTGCTCGTCTCTCCATAAGACAGTTAAATTGTATTGTATTTAGTAGATTGACTCAACACAATCGTTGCTGTATATGGCGTTCCAATCAATGATGATGTTGGTGTCTTTGGCAGTGCATTTGACCGTCAGTTCAGGGTTTCCTGTAAACCAAAAAATCATTTTATAGTTTACGTTCTTGTACTCGTAAATTTAACCATCATGCACACTAACATTTATTAACTTTGTATAATATACAGAACATTGCAAAGTTCTTCTGACATCATAAAATTTTACTTTAATAATTTCTCAGCTTTCCTATATATATGTAAAATAAATTAGTTGCGCACTGAATATATATAATGCTACATGCACTAGGTAGCATTTAGCTTAGTTGCAGCAAAAGCTGGTCACCTGAACAAGCATATATTTATTATTTATTAAAAATAGACGTGTATTGTATCAACCGTGTCCAGTAGTTGCAGCAAAAAGGGCTTTGCTAGGTACCCAGGCCGGTGCCATTGATGGCAAAAAAGGATATTTCGTACTCACAACATTCCTCCAAAGACGTCACCGTGGTTACGGTTTACGGTAAAATTCAATTATTTCGTTTGATCATTATTACTGTACCTGACATATGTCAACTCCCCGGACCTGGCTGTGCCTGACATATACCTGACTGTACCTATTATTATTATTATTATTTATTATTATTATTTTATTATTATTATTATTTTATTAGTATCATTATTATTATCATTAATATTATTATTAGTATTATAATTATTTATATCATCACATTTATCGCTGGAATCATTTCCTGGATAAATTTATCGCTGCCATAATCAAGAAAATTACATCGTTGCATTCCAGATTTACCGGAGGAATGGAAACTAAAAATATGCGAATCTCTCCATAGTAGCAGTGATCTGCGCCTGTTGTTGCGAATTTTATTTCATACGTAGTGCATTCTTCCAGTCTCGTGATGTAGAAATATCGGGTCACATAACCAACAGATTTATCGTGTTTTGGTACTAGTTGCCTCCAATTTTCCACGTGCCGAACGAGGTAACGTTTTCGAGGGCTCCTCTCCTCTTAACCCCTTAGCTAGCGTGGGGGTCTTGAACAATCCGTGAACGTTGCCCTCATTCATTAAATCCACGTCTTTCTTCTCTATTATAGCCGGGTGATCAAACTTTTGCATTTCTAGTGAAATGTTACGTTGGATTTTTAGTGTTTTCGTCGAAAAAGTGTGCGCAGTTTTCTTTCTGTCATCCAGGTCTCTAGAATTATTCTGGTTTCCATAAGAAGATTTTCCATAAGCACTCATACAATCCAAGAAGATGGCATTGGAACCATGTTGGTACCCAATTATGCAATTGTTTATGATATCAGTTATGACCAGTTCTTCCCATTGAAGAGTCAGAGCAGTCTGGTATTCTTCCAGGATGGATAAATCTACAAGAGAATCATTCACACACATAAGAGCAAAGTCGGAATTCCAAATGCAGTAACAGCAAACAATTTTAACAGCCATACAATGATATTTTATTGGATTAAGTTATGAAAAAGGTAGTAATATTTTCGTAACTGGGCTACCTACTTATTGTAAAATAGTAAAAATAGCACATAGTCCCTTAAGCTTCAAGTTTCCTTCCAAATCATGAACACAAACTTCTTACATGAAAATGTAATGGATAAATTCACAGAATTAAGTTGGTGTATTTCAATTTTGCGCAAATTGCATCATTTGTAACGGCTGAATGGACGAGCATAACCTACTTGCATTCATGCAAGTAGATGTAGCCTCCGCTGACAGCTGGACTCCCTGTAGTGCCTGCACAAAATATAAATTCATAAATAAGCAGAAATCCAATGGAAATTTTTATAATTGTGACAGCTCCTAATTCTCGTTCGTTAATTTATTAATATTACCAGTTTCATCCAGACTGACTTAGATGCAGTTGTCTAGTCATATTTCAAACATAGTACAGTACAGGACAAAAATTAAGTAAGCAAAATTGGCCTTGATAAAGACACAAAACTTCATGACCTTTATATGAAATCGTGCCCAACCTTTTCCTATAACATCTAGTTTCTTAGCGCGAAATACAAAACAGGAGGTTTCTGTGAATCAACCTGTTGAAGATGGACCAGAGCCTCGATTCTCAGCTCGGTATCATGAAAATCACCTCCCAAATCATAACTTCGGAATATCTTATTATTGGTTTTTTATTTATTCGAAGGCCTTTCAGCCGCCCGAACTACGCGCACCGGCAGTCTGCGAGGGGCTTTCTTACACGCCCGAGCTTTTGTGACAAGCCAGGATAGCGCTTTCGCACTCTGTTTTTACCCAGCGATTTTTTTTAGTGTAAGCCTGCTATTCGGAGAAAATCTACCTGGCAAAACCGCAACTTAGAGCTATCCTGACGGTTTAGCCTGATGCATTTCAACAATAACGTTTCGATCAGCTACCAATTTTACCTGAAAGGAACAGAAGTTCTTATGAGCTAGCTGGTATTTATAAACCATATGCATGAATCAGGATATTACTTACCTTTTTCGTGTCGTCGTTGACGTAAGAGTGAACTTTCAAGTACAGGGTGAGCAAAATTATCATTGTCTTTAGGTTGGAAACCATTATCCACGAGTCCGTTTTACGTTAAGTAAATGAGAATGAGTATACCATGAGATTTACCAAAAAATCTCAACCAGCTTTATTTTTCTACTCCGGTATGACTTTTATTTATGTGATTAATTTCTTAATTAATATAATACAGTTACTTTTCAGGCACAGATTAACAATTAGGTGATGCCAGTAATTTACAGCTAGTAAAATGAACATTTAGGCCGTGAATTTCAGATTCAATTCTCTTTTTCAGAAACTATCAGTCCTTTACAATTTTATGACGTCTAACCAAGCAATTGAGTAGTTGTAAGGGATTGAAATCATTGTTATTTAACTATCGGAGTATTAATTCTATAAGTTGTTCATAGTCCGGAATTTTAAATTGTCAATTTAGTTTAGAGCGTACTGAAGGCTAAGTGCGGAAGGATAAAGTGATAGGATTATTGCGTCGTGGAAAGCCGGAGCGGAGGTATGTGCTGCGTTAGGGTGTAAATATGTTAATTATATGTGAATACATTTGATGTGGGCAAATTGTGTTAATATTTAGGTCATATATTTATCAATTCATAATGTTTAGCTTACTATTATTTATCTGTTTCATTTGTTTCTTATATAGGAAAGCCTCAAAATGGAGAGTTAGAGTCATATGGAAATTTAGCCTCAAATCAATAGCTGGACAAAATGGATAGCTGGACATAACCAAAGCACCCAAGAGGAAAGCTGTAAAGTGTTAATGTGCCGAAGTTATTTTTTATTATTTGATGTGCTCATTTGAAATTGTGGTGAAATAAAGTGTTCTAATTGTCGTGCATTAATGACTATACCTATACGATTATGAAGGCTAGTTGATGGTTCCGAGAGCCCCAACATAGTTATTTTAGTTCTGGTCAAGGGCAGTATAATGTTGAATCTGCACATGTTGGTAGGTTGATGATGAATTATATATCACGTTGATGAATTATATTTATGTGCACGTAAGAATTATTAAAAACGTTGAATGTTAGATTTACAGTGTACAGTGTGTAAGTATTTTTTTCGTGCGTGTGTATGAATATGTGGGTAAAAATTTCTTGAATATATCAATGGTTAGATTTCTGGCAACATAAAATTCAATACGATGTTCAAACAACATCGTTATTAGATATTAATTTGAATGCCTGAGATTCAGAAATCTCATGCATTTTTTGAGTTATTGTCTAAAGCTTTTTAGTGAGTTAGTTTCAATGAACAGACATAATTCAAGACTCAGGCAGTGTCCAGCTTATTAGGCGTCTAATAAAAAAGGGATTAAAAATAGTTCAACTTAATTATTCAGTTATTCACTATGACTCACGGTACCGACATATATGATCATCTATCTGAACAATGCAGGGAGGAAAAAGGCCTACCACATGATTATTGATATTATTTTTAAATATTTAAATAGATATTTGATGATGAAAAATATTTTCTAAGCGTATTAGTGGATGAAATAAAAAATATTAAAGATAAAAATAATAACTTCATAGATAAAGAATAATTCCGATTCTCATTGCTTGCTGTACATGTTGACAAGAAACAGTTATATTTTTAACAAAACTGCATTCACAGAGTGTATTCAATGTTAAAAAATTTGTATATTTAATTCGTTAACAAATAATTTTTTAACATAAAATAAAATCTAGTCTTTTTAGCTGCAGTCGATTATCAATATGAAGAAATAAAATTTAAAAAGTCGAAAAATGATGACAAAAGAAGTGATTACATTATTTTCACATTCACTATTTCTACCAAGATTTTCTTGCCCTTCATGTCTACCATGTGCTGATAATTTAGGACGCATGTACTGAAAAACTGCAATTGAACCCAATAAAAAACTGCACTAACATCAATTAACTTTAACTAAAAATTCCTTTTCTGGCTCACTTCTCGAAGCTTCGTATATGTCCGGTGAACTATTTCACACTGATTCTCCTTAACCTGATCACGTATAATGAAAACATCGGGCACTTCCTACCATCGATCTGTGCGCTAACGTCACCGATAACACTCCATTGTTTGCACTTGTATCAGTGAGCGCAATCATCCGTCTCACTGTTACAGAGAATTTTTTACATCCATGTTATCTCAATTCTATCAATAGGGGTAATTTTTGGGTGCAAGGGCATTAAAATCGGTCGTATCACTCCTGCGAAAAAATATTCGGTTCTATTTGTCACTTAATCCGAGAATCAACGTCAATTGGTCATCAGTCATTGAAGATTCAAAACACAAGTGATAAATATTTAAGTATGTTTTTAAAATCTTATATCATCAGTCATATAGGCAGGAGGAGTCAAGAAACTAGTGCCGTCGCATTGCTTATAAAGATTTAAATCGGTTTTCAAAAGTTTCTAGTCGAAAGTCAAGCTTGGATTTTTCTAGGTTTACCTTCTTCCTGCTTCAATTTGCTAATCATAACCAACATCTTAGTTATCGGCTAAAAAATTGAATGAATTGCTAAATGCTCTACTAAATGTTTGATAATTTCACTTCAGTGTGCTTTAGCATATTAGTAATATTTTTGATTTACTTCCAAGCGGCTTAAATAAGCACGAAAAAAATACGAGAACTAAAAGCAGGAAAAAATGTTTTGCCCAGAAGAGCTTTTTTTTAACATATTATCCTTGACACATGAATATTGTGGAGCATGTTTGTCATTCCCGATGCAAGTGCAATCAATTTTATCATCTGAAGGAAATGCTGAGCGAAGCCTTATCTGCAGCTGCACATTCTTGGGCATTATCTCCCCCTACACAAAGACTGCCTGCTAAAAAATAACATATCAACATAAATAATTCATCAGTTTTCACGAGTATAAGGGCATTACTTAGTGATCTCGTTGTATAAGGCTTAAAACTTCAAAATCTAATCAATTACTCACGTAGTGACAATACAAGAGAAAGTCCCACACTTGAAAAAGCGAAGTAAACCAATAATATTCTGTTAAATGATCTTCATAATGCATGCAGAGCGATTAATCGAAAAGTATTTGAGGTGCCGGTTAATGCCACAAAAAAATAAAGGACTTTGAGCTGCAATGTAAATCAGCCGATATTTCTATACATTACATAGTTTTCCGATTACAGTCTTAACAGATTTTAGATTAAGTCCCAATAAGAGAGAGCTCATGAGAGTCAATAGCTACACGAGATGAATGTTTTGAACGATGAATGATCACGAAGATCAGAATTAATGCGACGACAATGCAAACGCTGATAATTGATAAGACGACAATAAGGGCGGTCCGGTCTTGTGCTGCGGTGTACTCCGAAGTGTGGACCGCTGGGCTGCAGCCCGCACTGGAGCAAGCCTAAAAAGATAAATAATCTTATATCTTCTTAAGAATTCACCAAATTTCTACATTAAAATAAAGAGCTACCTTGAATATGATTTTGAGATTATCTGGCCGTAATTTTATTGCATTATATATAACCAAAACTTATGATTTAGCAAAATTTTTGGTTAAATTGTTTCTTCTGTGAAATGCTTGCGGAAAACTGGAAAAAGCTTATGAACTTGAACATTTACGCCTGTATAGCAGGTGTAGATAGAAATTTTGCAATATTGAGTAATTACAATGGAATTAATCGACAACCTGACTTACACAAAATAGCATTTACCTTCACGGAAAAGTCATACAGCGTGTCACTTTTCATGCCTTCGACAAGGACATACTCCTCTGATACGTCGTCGTAGACTTTCGTGTTGACCGATAAACTATAGACAGAATCAGGCCCGTTCCAATACGCAGGAGGGCCCCAGGACAGCCTCATGGAGTTGGAGCTTATCTCAAAAACCTTGAAGTTCTGAGGCTCTGTCGGTGCTGTTGACCAAATGTACAGGTAAACGTGGGGGCTGAAGTATGTATCCAGTGTTTGGTTAAAGGTTTCCGATAAAAAATGTAACAATCTATGTTCATTTTTCAGGATTATTTGTGGAAATCATGCGGCTGATGTCGATACTGTGCTTCTGGACATGCCATTGGGATTCATTTAATAGGGAAAATACAGCAATATGAAATAAAAAGCGAAAAATAAAAGCTAGGAAGTTACCCGGACAGTGCAGGGTATAGGATCTGCCAAATCAATGATATGGTTGAGACGTTGAACAGCAAAGCTCTCACTCATCTCAACGCGGTTTACATCAGATTTTGGTAAATTAATCATCTGCCACATCGATTTCACGGTTATAGAACTTTAGAATGGTCTGAATAAAATTTGAGGTGTTCCTTACATCACAAGCTCAGCACCTAAGTAAAAATTCGTTTCATGCTATCCTGCATCTGACAACGAACCTCTCACATGCCTCAAAAGTTACACTTAGCAAAAATATGGTGGTCGGCCGTCCTTTAAATGAAACCAAATTGCCGTTTTCTTTGAAAGGTCGGCCACTCATACGTCGGTGTGACCATTTTTTTATTCTAATTTCGAACAGTTTACGTTGCAGATGTGACAACACTCACCTGCTGCAAACGTGGCGCAGCTGAAGCATTGAGGGACGAGGTAGTCGGAGGAATTTGTGAAGCAAACAAGATACTCTGTGTAGGGCTGTAAATCTTTGAGCTGCGAGCTCCCGTCTGACGCTTAAAATAAAAACCCGGTGCAGTTAATTAATTTGAGATCAGAATGCGCGAAGTTAAAGTAAATAATAATAAAGGCTGTGAGATCATGAACATCAGAAATAATTATTGATGTCCTTATTCAATGAACCACACTGAACCTTACAATGAACTATACTGACACAGTAAATAATGGCAGGCTTTAAATTATGATTCATAGATTCAACGTCAACGCTAACGTAAAATATTCATGCCAGTTACTGATCTGGTAAATGTTGAGAGACAGTTTAGAAATTCTGTCCATGAATAAAGGTGCAAATGTAAACTTCTGTAGAATTTCTTTGTCACTAACCTGTAACATATTTTGAGTCATGGAAAGTTGTCACACTTCCTCCTAAATATGTGCCGTCCCAAGTAAGTAGGTATTCAGCTTCAGCACATTCTTCAGAATACTCCCAGAATACCGTAACTTGTGTTGATGAGTCTGCTTCGCATTTACCGTTCGTAACCACTGTAAATGCAAATAAAAAATCACTTAAAATGTGTTTTTTTACACTACACTTGGATCCCATAAGGGAAGGAATTCGAAAATAAATGCAACCGCCATTCAAATATACATTAAATTATTAAGAAAGATCCGTTTTTTTACCGACGTGGAAAGATCCGTGGATTTTTACCGACGATATGCAACTTTATAACCAATGGGGAGCAATAAACAAGAGAAATTTAAGAGCATGGAAAGAGTTTATGGAAAAATTCAAAAATGAAGGTTGAAGTGAAGTGAAGCACAGACCTTTTGTTGGAGTGGTCACAGTTTGACTGGCAGAAAAATTTCCTTCACCGGCCCCATTGACTGCGGCCACCTCCACCTCATAGCTCGTGCAAGCGAAAATATTTTCCGTGATATTCACTTGTGTTTTGGACCCATCAGCAGACTCTTGGAGGGTCTGATTGTTGTCTCCAGTGAGTGAAATTGTATAACTTTGTATCAAACCGTTCGCTTCCTCAGGCGGCGTCCATTCCACAAAGACCAAAAAAATCGTGGCATAAAGTTCGACGATTTCAGGTGCGCTGCTCTCTGTATAATGCAGCATTTACTTTCATTAGATTAATTAATGAAAAACTATCAGAATTATCACCTCTCAGCCTCAGAACTTACCTCTGTTTAGGAATAATGCATCATTATAATTTTTTTTAAATAATTTATAGAAATTCAAATTATTCCAATTTATTGTGATGGTACTGGCATAATTACCAAATTTTAAATATGTGGGCTGGTGAATTTTATTAGAAATTTAATTAAAAAATTACAGTTTTTAATTCGTTATGCACGGCTATCATATAGTCGAGGCATTACAATTATCTTCAAATGCAAACTAAGAGACATAAAAATGAACGAATTAGCCGAAATCTTGCGCAATGTTATCATCTGTGTTTCTATTAAAAAAAAATTTCACGTTGGTGGCTTTAAAAATGTAAAATCGCGTACATTTTTGTTGTAGCTTTACTATGTATTTCAAAATTGTATCTCTAAATTTTCAAGTGCGGGTGGGATGTTATGTACTGGCACGGTACAATAGGAGAGAGGATGTGTGACTGAATGGTAGCGGCATGAGAGCCTGACTTCGAAAATGAACCGGGGACTTGGGAACCATTTTTGTCCGTGATATAATCTACCTTAAGTGGTCCCTCATCTCCCAGTACACGGGATATGAAACAAAATAAATGCATCATGTCAGATCATTTCAGCCTTAATATATTTTTTAAATCGTTAAGGAATTTTATAATAAACTAACTTGCGTCGCTGGAATCGACCCAACACTCAGCACTGAAGTCCAGATTTTCTGTCTTCACAAAGAAATGGTAGGAAGTCCCATGGAAGAAGTCCTGTGAAGGCAAGTCAAAGGAGTTCTCTTCAACCAGGGTCTCGTTTTTCCGATTCTCATTTTTCCAGGGAATGAAAAGGTCGTACTGAATTATGTACGCTTCTTCTATACAATCAAACGGTATCAAGTATTTTCAGTCATCTATTACAGTTCCAAATATTTGTACCGTTGCGTAAAATTCGAGCAGTATTTTGAATAATGCACTTAAAGAACTCAGGAAATATGGGAATGACAGCATCATTTTATTGCATCTACATGTAATCCTTTGGGATATAAATAAGTGTTGTCTCCAGGAATCTAATTATAATTCATCAAAATAATTACCTGGCTCTAAAGTGCTCAAACTTTCCGGTGTGGAAAACTCTCCTTCACCGGCCCCATTGACTGCGGCCACCTCCACCTCATAGCCCGTGCAAGCGAAAATATTTTCCGTGATATTCACTTGTGTTAAGGACCCATCAGCAGACTTTTGGAGGGTCTGATTGTTATCTCCAGTGATTAAAATTGTATAGCTTTGTATCAAACCGTTCGCCTCCTCAGGCGGCGTCCATTCCACAAAGACTGAAGAAGCCGTGGTAGAAATCCTGGTAATTGCAGGAGCGCTGCTTTCTGTTGAAAGCAGTATTTATTCGTCCTAAGATTAACATAAATTACGATGAACATTGGATAAACGAGAAAGAAATTTAGCATATGCCAAAGTACTCCAAACACTCGAAAATTTTAATAGCTATAGGGATTATCTATTTTATACAATTTTTCCAAATAATTTATTTTTTAAATTACTACAACTCCTTAGGGACTATAACTTATGGTTTTTTTCTTAAATATAGCAAGCCCTAAAAAGTAAACTAACTTGTGTCGCTAGAATTGACGTGGCATTCATCCGTGATATTCTGATCTTCGGTTGCTACAATGAAATGGTAGACCGTCCCTGGTAGGAAGTCCGTCTCGGGAAGGTCAAAGTAATTCTCTGTCACTGAAGTCTCGTTACTCCAATTTTCGTTTTTCCAGGGAATAACTATATCGTACTGAACTTTATACGAGTACTCTTCACAATCACGATAAATAGGGGTCCACTGAGTGTAAATTCCTGATGAGCTGACATTGCAAACCAAGCTTAAGTTCGAACTCTCTGAAATATAAAGAAATGCACAGCGTACGAATCATAAAATATTTCAGACTTCAGAAATGTGTCATGAAGATCTGATGTACGTTTTCATTCAACCACGTTTTTTGCGTCGTAAAATGATTTTTTTTTCTATATCAGTTAAGTCTCGGGGATAATGTTTAACATAGGGAACGAATGCAAAAAATTTTGAGAGTAGTGGAAGAATGTGAAAAGTATGCGAGAGTTAGTAATTCACACTTGCAGGAAAGAAGTTTCCAAGGAAGTATCGCAATTCGTACCTTGACAAAGGAAGGTTTGAAACCGTAAAAAATTCATTGAGTGCTAGTATCCAAGTTAGGTTGGAATATTATTTAAAGATATCTCTATATTGCTTCTTTATTTACATGCTAATAGCCATGTACACGAGTCGATATCATAGGAAATTAGTGACGAATATCTTCAAAAAAAATAAAAGAAAAAACAAATTGAGATTGCAGCTTTTACATATATTTGCGGCTTATTTACTGAAAGCCGCGTACATATAACTGCGTATATTTTTATGTGACGGCGTATATTTTTAGTGGCGTATATAACGGCTATGATTTGATATCTACTAAAATAAGATTCACAAGATATTTCATTAGGAAAAAGTGATCATATTCTCACCTCCTATCTCGATAAGATGCGTGACCACATCGCTTGGGGGTCCATTACCAGCTCCGTTAACCGCCACCACTTCGACGGAGTAGCTGACGCAAGTTTCGAGTCCTGTTGCTTCGTAAAACGTATCAGGGGCATTTACTTCAACTGAAATGTTCTCACTGGAGTTGTTATTAATGATTACGATGTAATTGGTAATGATGCCATTCGCTGCTACTGGTGCGTCCCACTCAACTAGGAAGGGGGACTGGTCGTTTTCAGTGACCGTCACGTTCTCAGGTGCACCTGGCTCTGAGTTTTTGGTTATCAAAATAAATAATTAACAATCAAGGAGAATAGTTGTTACATAAGTTTCTTTTCAGTAATAAAATATAAATTGGTTATGAAAATGAATAATAAATAAAGCACTTATGCTGCTGGGATGTGGCAAACAGAGCAAATATGCTCCCTATATAGTGCATATATGATCACGCAGAGCATTTCAAATATTTTCAAAGACAATTGACAAACAATTTACTTCAACTTCAAATAAATGAAGGAAAATCAACAAATAAAATTGCATAAGAAGCAGAGATAAGTAACGGTGATATTTACAATACAAGCATAAAAAAAGACTGCCTCCCCTGCTCAATGCTCAAGTACAGCGATATTCGTATCAGTCTTGAAAAGTTGTATGAATAATGATTAAATTTTTGAACAAAGACCTCCATTTATCTAAATTATTTTTTTTTTGCAAACAATAATGTATCTAATTACCTTTTTCAGGTGATGTGCAGCTAATATAGGCGTCGTCACTAGTGGCATTATTGTAGACGGCAGACACGGTGAACGAGTAATCGGCGTACGCCAAGTAATCGTAAAATTCTATTTCTGTTTCTTTGGTAGTAATTGAAGCGTTGTCTGATTCTGAACTCCAAAGACTCTCGGCCGTCCAGGCAACACTGAACTCCAAAGGTTTACATTGGAGGTCATCCATTGGGTTTTTCCATGACAAAATCAAAACATCTTGAATATTATTACAGAACAGTTGCTTCGGAGGCAGGGTTTCTACACGAAGAAGAGAACTTTTTTTAGTAATAATTAGAAATGTAAAAACGTATAATGTACCTCCCTACTTGGTGCTCGAGTACAGCGATATTCGTATCAATCCTGGAAATTTGTATGAATTGTGATTAAACTTTTGAACAAAGACCTCCATCTATCTATTTAATTTTTTTGCAAACAATAATGCTATGGAATTACCTCTTTCAGGTGATGTGCAGTCAATATAGGCGTCTTCACTGGTGGCATTATTGTAGACGGCAGACACGGTGAACGAGTAATCAGCGTACGCCAAGTAGTCGTAAAATTCTATTTTCGTTTCTTTGGCAGTAGTTGAAGAGTTGTCTGATTCTGAATTCCAAAGACTCTCGGCCGTCCAGGCAACACTGAACTCCAAAGGTTTACATTGAAGGTCATCCATTGGGTTTTTCCATGACAAAGTCCAAACATCTTGACTTATATTACAGGACAGTTGCTGCGGAGGCAGAGTTTCTACACGAAGAAGAGAACTTCTTTTAGTAATAATTAGAAATGTAAAAACGTATAATGTAAACGTGCTCTCATGTAAGACTTTTTTTAAAGATATGTTTTATTAGACATCGTCAATCGAGTGTCTTATGCATTGCAATTAAACTCATTTTGAGAGACTGCAAGCAAGAATATATAAAGATATTTAACTATCTTATTGAGCAAACCTCAAATTTTTATTTTGAACTATCGTACGGCACTGAGATTTTAGTAATTTCATATTAGGAAATGATGTTTCAATGCGTAATTTTATAGGTTTTCTCCAATCAAAAGATACCCGAAACTACTATTGCAACAAGAAATATCGGCCCCGTTTTCTCTTTTAATTTTTTGGACAAAGTCTGTGAATTGTAGAAATTACGAGAGAGTTTTAGACCAAGCTAAATTAAATACTCATAGTTTTTATATTAATTTAAATCACGATATAAATCAAGTTGTAAAACAATTAAGAAACCTTCAGAAGTATTATAACTCTATATGAAAGCCTACAAAAAATATAGCACTCAAATACACACTATTATTTTTGATATTTAACATCTGTATCCTTCTTAGGCTCCTAAGTGTAGCAATAAAACAAAGAAGAGATGTCACTCGATATGGAACCTGAGCATAATTAAAATAATTATTCTTATAAATAAAAGATTCTTCAAACTAACCATCAGGTAATGTGTATTCACTTTTTAAAGAGCCTTCGTAATAATACCCGTTCGGATCAAATCCCAAAGGAATTATGGTGAGCTCCAGGTCGTATGACGTGCAGGCATCCAAACCAGTGATGTCGTAGAGCACCATGGTCGTATTTTCCTTTTTATTTTCAAATTGGTCCACGAAATTTTCTGTCTCATCAAAATCCCCTTTGTACCATAAATCATTGTCTTCCAAACTAGTGTGTAGATTCGTCGAGGTCACTTGGAGATTTTCGTTTATTTTTTGATTGGTATGCAAACAGTCTCTTGTCTCCGATGATGATCCGTGATTTATTTTCACAAAGCAATACTGTACTCTTTCACCTGCATATACTTCCCACTGGACTTCCAGTGCTGTCTCATAATATGTCCTTACTGTGAAGTCTGGGGAAAAAAAATAATTTAGGGGGGTCTGGGGGATATTTCCTTCCAATAATTTAGTACCATTAATTTCGGGTGTCATGCTTCAAAGTCATGATTAGAGGAATGGAAATAATAACATAATAAAAAATATTTATTAAAGTCAAACCTTCAAAGCATATAAACACTAAATATATTGTACTTGATCAGCTCGCAAATGAAAACTTGAGCCTCAAAACTTCAATTATTTCCATGGCGTCATATATCAAACGGGAAATTATTTTATCGTAAAAATTTTGATGCCAAATAACGTCTTACTTGCATCTATGACATTCGCTTTTGTAAGCCCAGCGGTTACGCCTGAAGAGAGATGAGTTGCTTCCTATATACGGGGAAATATGAGTGAGAAGTATGAATAGTACATATTTTTAGATCAGAAGCTCGAGTAAATTTTATATGAACTAGATGGTGCCATCTCATCCATGCAATATCGTCCAATAATTGTTGCGGCCTCAACATAGAAATTTGATATAAAATCATAAAAAACGTTTCGGAATTTTTGATGGTTTAATATTTGGAATTATGAACAAAATTAAAATTCGTATCTATAATTTTTATGTAGTGCCTTTTGTCATCAATATAACTAATATCAAGGCAGCTAGATATATAAGGATCCAGTGAAAAATTTTATAGAAAAAATAAAATCATGACAAAAAATCACCATCATACATCATATATTCAAGGGATATGTCCAAATATAGGTCAAATATTCATAGGTGATAACTAAAATTACGAGCAAAGTTACATGAAAAATTTCGTGCAATTTAAATTGAAGGCCAATACGGACAAAAAGATTGTTTTGGTGCGACGAAAAGAACTAATATAAAGTTCAGGTTTCTATCCATTTAATATTCGGTAAAGAGACAAACGACTGCTACTATAAGAGAAGCTCCAATAATAAATCGAATTCGAGAAATAGCGTCTAAAAAAATTCAGCTGTAAATGCGACTATAATGCGACGGCAAAAAAATATCGTAACGGCGACTTCCAATTTTTTGTTTTGAATGCATTATTGTCCGTAACTGATTAAGCTGCATAATTTATTTCACATGTTATACAAAAATATTTTGTTTGTCAGTCATACGCTTCTATAAATATGACTGCTTTCCGATTAAAGAATAGAAATTTGAATACTTTTGCTGCGTTTTCACGGCATACAAGTGGTGTCTGTTCATTCATTCTCTTCGGATTATTCATTCAAGAAATCTATATTTCGTACTCACAACATTCTTATTATTTGTGATATATTATAAATACGTCACTGTGGTTACGGTTACCTGACACGTTAATACGTACCTTTTTCGTGTCGTCGTTGATGTACGAGTGAACTTTCAAGCACAGGGTTAGCAAAATTATCATAGTCTTTAGGTTGGAAACCATTATCCATAAGCCTGTTTTACGTTATGTAAATGAGAATAAGTATACCATGAGATTTATCCAAAAATCTCAACCAGCTTCTAATCCGGTCTAACTTTTATTTCCGTGATTAATTTCTTAATGAATGTAATACATGCAGTTACATTTCGAAAACAGGTTAACGTGCAATTAGGTGATGCCAGTACTTTTACAGCTTGTAAAAAGAACATTCAAGCCGTGAATTAAAACTATTTCTCAGAAACTTTCAGTCTTTTACAATTTTATGACGTCTAACCGAGCAATTGAGTAGTTATTTCAGTTCTGGTAAAATGAAGTAAAATGTTGAATCTGCACACGTTGGTAGGTGTCGGGCATGGTCGTGATAATGAATTATATTTATGTGCACAAAAGAATTATATAGAATGTTAGATCTAGAGTGTGTAAGAACTCTCTTTGTACGTGTATATTCATGTGTGCAAAAATTTCTTGGGTATTTCAATGGTTAGATTTCTGGCAACATAAAATTCAA